CTGCATACGTTTTGATTGATAATAAAAGAATTAATTATTAATGACAAAATACTTTGTTCCATCTTATAACTCAAATGTGTTTTGCTTTAACATGTAATCATAAACTTGCCTGCTGTAAAGATCTCAAACTTTGAGCTTGCTTTTTGACTTACAATTTCAAGGGACTTCCCCCATTTGCATCAGATTTCTTGCATTGCTGTGTCTTGGCCTGATTAATAACAATGGCTTTAATTTGTGACATGAATGGATAAGTCATATGCACTTCATGATTCTAAATAGTCATATACCTTAGAGGGGAACTTAAAATAACTATTTATAGCTTTCACATACCTCTCTTAACAGCTCTTCATTAAGTTGTTATGGCTTAAAAGAAGATACTTCCCCATTTTTCCTCTCAAAGTTTTGATTCACTAATTCCATAGGTAAATGTGTTCATTAGGAAGGAGGAGCACTAATGCTGACTGAGTTTACTGCATCTTGCTGCTTTTTGCAAAAGTTTCTGAGGACTACTTTTAATTAGAGGTAGATATTGTAGGATCTTCTGAAGGTCTAACAGCAGATGACCTCGTTCTAATGACTATTTGCATAGTATTTTTGTAGATCCCTTTTAAACTTTGTCTTCTGTGTAAGAGAACATACTGTGGGTATTTCATATGTATAACCACTGAAGATACTTAAAATGCATTGAAATCTAGTTAAATGGTGAGCTCTTCTTCCACCTTTTGTCTCCTTTGGTCAAATTTTTTGTTTGAAAGTTTGTAATAGCATTTCTGAGTAGTGAAGGAATGGATCATTTGTCATTGTTGATTGCTGTCATTCACTTCCAGAATGTATTCCTGTTTAAGCTGTTGTGTAATGTTGAAGTTGGGAGTCAGCAGCTCTCCCCTGAGCAAGCAGTGCTTCAGGCTCTGTGCTGGTTAGCAAAAATGGAGAGTTCTTCATTACTTAGTTGAGTTACTGCAGACTTTTCCATGGTTGTAAGAGTGAAAATATACAAAATGCTTGAATTTGTGTTAACTAGTGTATCTAGGCTGCCTGTTGGAATATAACTAAGCCAGTAAATAGTGGTTTAGATGCACTACTTTTCACTGTGTGGTAATTTCATTTTTTTTGTCATCTTACAGTAGTTTGAGGTTTCTCAAAGTGTAAATGTCGTTGCTTTAATTTTTTGGCTGTAACTTACATAACTATATCTGTATTTCAGCCCAGTGCCCTCTGTGCTACAGTAAACAGAGCTTATACCAAGTTAATCACATTCAGAATGCAGAATTTTCATACTGATGGAGATTTCTCCAGTAGAGTTTAACAATAAAGTGGGGGGGAACACTCCAATGAGTAGAACAGAGTCCTTTGTAAACCAACTCCTGATTGTGGGAAAACATTCAGATTTTTGTTGCTTAAAAAAAACTTCAGAATCAAATAGCATTTTCCCCTTAATTTATCCTGTTCAAAGGACAGGAAACAGTGTGTAAAGCTGGACATGGAATACAAGGTGGCAAGTTATGGCTGTGTTCAAAGACAGTAAGCTTTCTGAATAAAATAATATTTTTTCCCCAAATTGAAATATTTTGTGGATTTTCTAAAAAAACACTTGTGATGAAATACAGGGTTACTGTGGGAGAGTCTGGTTTGCTTTTGGACTGTGGTGAAGGTTGACTAGACTGGGTGTTACATTTCTGTAAAACGGTGGTGCATAAATAACAGCAAAAATCCTGCCTTAAAGGTGACCTTGTGAGGATGAGAGGAAGGACTGTGTACTGCTTGTTCTCTGTGTGCTTGTGACAGGTTTGAATGCAGAATTCCTGTCCTTGTTAGAAATTTTATAAAATGGATGTCTTGATCTTAATTTTTGCAGAGAAAGATGGTCCGTGTGTGAGGGTACAGGCAAGCACAGGGCGTGTGAGAGCTGGTGTTTCCTTGAGGAGCTGTCAGGAGCACAGAAGGGTAGACAGCAGAATTCCACAGCTCTAATAGTCATCTTCGTTTGCTGTGTAGACTTTTTACACTCTTAATGTTTATTCTAACTTTTTTTTCCAATTTTTGAACCTCTTTTTTTCAGTCCTAAGAAAGAAGGCAGCCTTATATACTGCATTCCACACCAACTTATTGCTGAAAAAAAACCCCGTTGTGCTTTAATGAATTGAAATTAAGACCCTGTCCTGTTGTCTAGACTGACAAGAAGTTTAGTCCAGCTTACATACAGTTAGCTTTTGACTTTGATGGAAGACATACCTACCTGCTGTAATTCCAAAGAGAACAGCAACACTTTCCTACTTATCACAGGATATAGACCTCGCATTTAACAATTGTTAGAGATGTTTGTAGGACCTCTAGTGAGAACATTCAAATGGGTCTTTTCAGCTGGGGTTCTAGGATCCGAAAGATTCTCGATCTCCAGAAAGATTCTGTGATCTTATGGCTTCTTTAGATTATAGTACTGCAGCATATATGCCTTTTGCAAATTTTTTATTTCAAATTACATCCCATGAAGTAGTAGATTAGTTGCTTATGGCTGTGAAGAGAACGCAGGCTGCCTGGGATGATGCATCAGCTTACACCCCATGCAAACTGAAATAAGTAATTCTTTGGGGTCTGTTAGGAACAGCCAGCTCACAGCTGCTCCTGGAAGCATCAGTTAGTGGAACAGTGTAGAAAACTTTGATTCAAATCTGTTCTGTAGTCTCAATCTTGTAGTGATTTGTTCTATGATAAAATAAATGAGAACTATAAATATTAGCACTGGATGTAAGAATGCATTGGCATTTTGAAGAATTTGGAGATTCAGGCAGAAGATCATGGACCTGAATTAGGCAGCGCTACTTAACCTACCATAGATCAAAGAATCATCATGTGATGGTTTGGGTTGGAAGGAACCTTAAAGGGCACCTAGTTCCAACCCCCTTGCCATGGGCAGGGACACCTTCCACTAGATCAGGTGCTAAAGCTCCTTTCAGCTTGACTTTGAACATTTCCAGGGGCAACCACAGCTTCTCTGAGCAATCTCTGCCAGGGCCTCCCCACCCTCACAGGGAAGAATTTCTTCCCTTTAACTAATCTAAACCTACCTTCTTTTGGTTTGAAGCCATTCCCCCTTGCCTGCCACTCCATGCTCATGTCCAAAGTCGCTCTCCAGCTCTCTTGGCCCCTTTGTAGGCACTGGAAGGTGCTGTAGGGTCTTCCTAGAGTCTTTTCTCCAGGCTGAACAACCCCAGCCCTCTCAGCCTGTCTCTGTATCAGAGATGCTCCAGCCCTCAGAGCATCTTCATGGCCTTCCTCTGGACTCACTGCAGCAGCTCCACATCCTTCTTGGGCTGGGGCCTCAGAGCTGGACACAGCACTCCAGGTGTGGCAGAGAGGGAGAATCCCCTCCCCTGACATGCTGGCTGTGCTTTTTGTGATGTAGCTCAGGACACAGTTGACTTTCTGGGCTGCAGACACATATTACCAAGTCATGCTGTGTTTCTCATCCACCAACACCCCCCCAAGTTCTTTTCCCCAGGTCTGCTCTCGCTCTGTTCTCTGCCCAGCCTGGATTTGTGCTTGGGATTGCCCTGGCCCAGCTGCAGGACCTTGCACTTGGCCGTGTTGAACTTGGTCAGGTTTGCACAGACTCACCTGTCAGGGTCCCTCTGAGTGGCTGTTCTTGCTGATATCTCAGACTTTTGACTCAATGCAGATTCCTGCTGTGCTGCTCAAGGAGCCCCATTTCCCCTTAGGGTGTAGCTGCAGGTTTTCTTAAGCAGCCTTTTGGTAGTTCAGCACAACTTGCTGTGAGCTGGGTGTAGCTGTTGGTGTGCTTATGTGATGAACTGAATTGCTGTCTGATCTGGTTGGAAAACTTATTTTTCAGATTGGTGAGCTCTTCATTCTGGTTCAGTGAATAAACATTCCTTCTAGAAGAGCACAGGAGGTGTTTCTTCAAACAAGTGGTGAGGGGGGGAGAGAAAAGAGGGAGCATTTAACTGCTTAATTAGTACAGCTGTCAAATATCTGCTACAGCCTTATTCAGTTGAGGCATAAAAAACTGATATTAGCTACAGTAACAAATATTTCAGTGGTTATCACAGTAGGAACCAAATGCTTTCATTTTACTTCCTTTTGGGAATTTAAACAGAAGGCAGAGATGCCAGATTAAGCAGGTTGAAGGTGGATATATTACTGGGGTTACTGTTGTCTGTATCTCAGTAGCTTTCTAATGCAAAAGTTGTTCTTTTAAACAGTCTTTGAGGGTAATGTTGTATTGTTGTCCGTTGGCAGGTTTATATTTTGGCAGGGAGGGGAACCTGCCTGGTGCTGACTCTTAAGGGAACGTGATAGGATATGCTCAGTTTGTGTCACAGGGTGGAGTGAAAAGTACATGGCCTGAAAATAGCTTGGTACACTGTACTTCTAATGTCTGGTGTTCCTTAAAGACACTCTAGGTAATAAATGGGTTTCTGTTACTTTGCCCCAAAATAATAAAGATTCAAAATCTCTACTGTTTCCTTCATATCAGAAAAGAGCCATGAATTATGAGTAACTGATTTTTATAGCTCAGTTGTCACTATATAACACCACGTATTGTGTTGAAGTATTTGCTGTCTGTATGTACTGCTGTAGGGGAAGATGTAGGCCTTATTTAAGCCTGCAGTTTAGTTGATGGCTATTGGAGCTATTTAGCCAAAGCTTAGGTCACTTCTGTGAGCAGTGGCCTGTAAAGCACCCATGCTTAAGCATTGGGAAAGCAGATACCATACATTTTGCAGGAGACATACATCAACATTTTCACTGACTGTAAGAACTTCCCTTCAATGCAAGTTCTAAGAATTTTGTCTTCATGAAAAATGACCTTGTCAAGCAGTATTCTTAATATTTTGAAGCAGTTGTATTTTGGTTACTGCTGTTTTGCTATTCCCACTGGGGGGGTTGTCTTAGCAGTAAATGGGTTTTCTCTGATTTCAGTTTTGCTTTTGAAAAATCTCGTGCTTGTTTTCTTGATGCTTATCTGTTTTATTTTCTAGGCCTTCCTTAAATCTTTCCATGTCTGAATGGACTCCTGAATGTAATATAGTTTATACTCCAGAAGCGGATATGAAGAGTGAAGTTCCTTCTGATGCACCAAAGAGACAGGAGAGTCTGAAGGGGATCCTCTTGAACCCTGAGCCTATTGGGGCGGCCAAAAGCTTCACTGCAGAAGTTGAGATGATTGCCAGTAAAGTAGGGAATGAGTTCTCCCACTTATGTGGTGACTCTCAAAAGCAGAAGGACATGAATGGCAACCACACAGACCAAGAAAAAAGTATCGTGGTGCGAAAAAAACGCAAGAGCCAGCAGGCTGGTCCTTCGTACACTCAGAACTGTCCTGACAAGGAAAACAAAGGAATCTTGGGATTGAGACAGCATCTAGAAACACAGAGTGAGGACAATGACTCTTCTTTCAGTGACTGTATCTCTTCACCTTCCTCTAGCTTACACTTTGGAGACTCTGACACAGTAACATCTGATGAAGAGAAGGATGCTCCTGTCAGACACCCTCAGGCAGTGCTGAATCCTGCGAGCAGAACTCACAGTGCCAGGTCACACAAGTGGCCTCGCACTGAGGCAGACTCTGTACCCGGGTTACTGATGAAAAGGCCCTGCTTTCACAACAGCTCTTTAAGAAGGCTCCCATATAGGAAAAGAGTTGTGAAAACAGGTTCGTCCCAGCGGACACAGAACCAAAAAGAGCGGATTTTAATGCAGAGGAAGAAGCGGGAGGTGCTGGCTCGCAGGAAGTACGCGCTGCTGCCCAGCTCCAGCAGCTCCAGCGAGAACGATCTCAGCAGTGAATCTTCCTCCAGTTCATCTACTGAAGGGGAGGAAGACTTATTTGTGTCACCTGGTGAAAACCACCAGAACACTACAGCCGTTCCTTCAGGTAAAGCTAAATCCTGAGTTATTTTTTATTAATTTTCTTTCGTCATGCACAGTAGTCTTTTATAAGTTATTTGGAGCTGTATTTGTGTTTTTGTAGAAGTTAGTGCTACAAATTACTGCAAGTCATGTGAACAGTACAAAATAAATTCTTAATGGGAAAAGTACATGCAGAGCTTACAGTAGAATTACAACAAATCTGAAGTCTTTAATGTAAAAGTTAATGGTTTCTGAACAATGTACTGGAAGGTTGCTCGGTCTGATTAGTCACGTACTGCTGAGTTCATCCATTTTTATTTTTTTTTAGCTGCGGAACTGTATTAAAAATTTTAGCTGTTATAGCTTTGGTAACTGACTGTGGTAATAACAATTCTACAGAAATACCTGCTAGTACTTAACTGCATTTGAAAATATAGAAAACTATGAAGAGAACAAAAGTTGATTGTGATAAGAACTTGAAATAGGAGGCAGTTGAAGGAGCTTTAGGGATAATAAGAGAAAAGTATTGTATATATATCAGATGTTTTACCTAGATAAACTCACTGCAATGAACTTGCAGTTGGCTTACATGATTGCTTCTCTAGTATATCTTGACAAGGTATCTGAATGCTTCAGTGTTTGGAGGAAGACTTTTGGGGGGATGTTTTTGTTTGGTTTTGTTTTGTTTTCTGGGTTTATTTTTGTGTTTGTTTTTTGTTTGTTTTTTTGTTCATCGATGTATTTTCTTGGCCTTCCTTTCATCTTAAATTTGCCAAGTGAAAGTAGTTGTGCATTTTGTTCATTAGTTTAGCTTTTTATAGAGCATGGAGAAGTAGATAGAACACAGCATGGTGTTAATTTGTGCAACCATGTGTTTTATACAGTGACAAATATGTTTTAAAAAATGAAACCGTTTCTCAGACTGTGCTGATCATTCCTCTGAGAAAAAACGACTGAAAGGACAAGGACAGGCTTAAAAAAAGGTGTGAATGTTCATGTTAATGCAGGATTTGTTCTTGAACAGAACCAGAGTCCTAAATATAGATTATTGCTTGTTATTCACTGTAGCAAGAAATAACTTGTGTGTTGGTCTTTAATGTGCTGTTTAAATATAAGAAGTAAAATCTGTAATGTCAAATTCTTACTTATGCAGTGCTAGGCCTGCATATAGAACTCTGAAGCAGAAGAATTATTGCACAGCCTTAATTACCTTGATGCATATTTGTGGGGATAGAAATTAATTTTTGAAGCCTAAAAAAGTTACATTTGACTTGCATGTTTAAACACATTAAAGTGTATGCTTTGTAAATAATAAATGTGCGGGGATATGCATACATTTATATTAAAAAACAATTTGGGAAACTCATGGTAACACCTCTGTTTCCAAGTTAATAGTTTTTTATCATTTTCAGAGAGGGTGGAGTTTCATGTAGCTGTAAAATGATGTAGGACATTAACAACTCTTTCCACACAGAAGTGGAAAAGTCCAGTGGCTTTTTCTACTACTTTAAAAGCACACTGAATATATGAAATTGTTTCTTTTCCTGTAATGAATGAAAATCCATACAGTTAATTTTAGATTAAAATACTGACATCAGTTGTAACTGAAAGAAGATATGCTTTAAAAAATGTGTTCTGTGGTGACTGTACTTCAGCACTAATGCTTGCAGTGAGCTGAAAAGCAGTTCTGGCTTAGAGTGTGTGAATACTGTGGGTTTTTTCCTAGTGGAAATATGTATTGATGGAAAGTTTTGAGCATTTTATTTACATTGCAGATAGAATGGGAAGTTGAGCAGACATCCTGTGTGAAAGTGCCCTATTTTTAGCAAGATAAAAATGTGATTAACATTTTCTGTAGCTTTTCTGCTGTTACATAAGGCATTTCTAGTTATTGAGTTAATTAGGACAGAAATGGGGCCAGCTGGAAAAATAGCTGTGCAGCCTCTCTGTATAGTGAGCAAGCAGGATGGGGTTTCTATAAGAGGAAAGAGTTGTATTGATAGTAGTGCTACACTGGCTTGTTAATGATAGGGGAAATATTTTTGCTCTGCATTGGCACATATGCATCTGCTGAAATGACAGAATATACTGAAGGACAAACAACTTCTACTAAGAATATGAGGCCTGTGGCATATATGTAAAAGTACTAGAGGACAGGCTTAGGAAAGGAGGAGAGTGATGATAATAATAATCAGAAAAAATGCAATTAAAAAAGGTGCAGTAATAACTGAATTTTTTATGAGCAGGCATCAAAATGATGTAATTTCTCTTGTAGCCAACTGAATGGCAATTTTTATTGAGAATGTGTCAGAAAATATTTCTTTGTTTTGAATGGTGGTGTTTGTCTAAAGATACAGTGCATTCAAAGAACAAGTAAATTTAATTAGTGTATATTGTTTTGGAAAACATTGCTGATTGTTGCAAGAAATTAAAGTAACAGATCTTTTTAATTAAGGAGGTATTTAGTAGGTTGGTTCTTGTTAATAAAACTAGCTTGGCTAATTTCAGAAAATCATATGGATGGAGCTGTGAAGGGGGAGGATTGTTTGTTTATCAAAACCTTTACCAAAAAAACTCCAAACAGCACTATGTAGGATTTTTCCTCCTTTTCCATCAGGGTTTTAGCTATTCTTCTGGTACAACTCTGTGCTTTGGCAGTGTGAGAGTATTGAACGAGTATGTCCTGACACCTGGGAATGGGTTATATTGTTTTACCAACTGTTTGCCACAAAAGGCAGTGCCCTCATTAAATCTGGGATGAGCAGCTGAAGCTCCTTCAGGAGACAGAGGGGAGTTGGGGGCAAAAGGACAATGTAAAACCCCTTGTGTGTCATTTAATGATGCAGCTGAAGGTGCAGGTGCTTTTAGGGGTGTATATTCTAACTGGAATGTTAATCAGTGGATTTTAATTGCAATACTGAGCTCACAGTTAAAATGACAGCAAGCAGCAGGATTTTTGCTGTAAAACAAATTTGGATTCTGTGTTTTGTTTGGGTAGGGCAGAAGCTTTTCTCTAACCCTGTGTACACACCTATAGGATAATCCTCTTTTGACTTTGCTTATGAAAGGTGGCAAAATTTCAGCTTCTACTGTACTTGGATCTCTATAATGTTGTAATGCTTCTACCAGTATTTGATTTGCATCTTGGATCTGAAGGGTTGGGGGTTGCTGTTTGGGGACAGTCTGCAGGGAAATCTAGCAGAAGCTAAAATTGGAACAAGTTTTTAGCCTCTACTCTGATTTGTCAATAAAGCAAAACTCTGGAAAATGGGAAGGTGGTGTTGAAAAATCTGGGTAGCATTTTGCACTGTCATAAATTGTTCACCTAATAGCACTTATAATTCTTTCAGGGTCTGACATGTTGTTTTATATTTTTGAGCAACTAGTGCTAGATAGGCTTTCCTCTTCCCTTAGAATGTAATGCTGATGAGAAGCTGCTCCAGATTTTGTTCAAAGCTGCTTAGAATGATAAGACTGAGTTTATTCACAACTGTCCTCTTGATCCTCTAATGTATTTGTTGTCTATCTCCCTAGAAATGTTGAATATAGACATTTGATATTTCACAAGCCAGAGGCTGGTGAAAATGTTAAGCACATACCACTTTATGTTCAGATTACTTTAACAGGTTTAAGATAAACAGGTATTAAGTGGAAATTAGCTTCCTGTTGTTTGAGTTGATTATTTTTCAGTTCCTTAATCCCTCCTAAAAACTACAGCATGCAGTCCTTTTCTCACAGTAACTGATGCAGCTCATAATTCTAAGCTGTTATCCCAATAGCATTAGTGGGTAAGGAGGGGAATAAGTATCCTGTTTACTGCGCCACTTACTGGAGAAGGGTCAGGGAAGAGCTGGGAAGTGATGAGGGAATAAGCACCTGGCTCTGTGAGCAGTGGACATTAATCACTGCTGCTCCTTCCATCTGCTGTGAGTTGGAGCTTTAAATAGCTCCAGTAATAAACGTTAGTGTGGAATTCACTTCAGCACTTCCCCCTTGCTGCTGCAGCTCTCTGTGCTGAGAAGATGCTGCTCCTGGAATTGGGTTGCTGTGGCACTGCCCTCTGGACTGAAGCTTATGTGCTTGGTTAAGAACGGTCGGTAGAGGTCTGAATTAGCACAGCTCAGAGTTGGACAGAATTCCCGGAACTCTGGTTGCTCACGGTCTCTTCCACCAGGGTGCAGCCTCCTAAGCAATTTGTGTGTCTTGGAAAATTTCTCCCATCATGCACAGCTATTGGAAAATATATTCCAAGTAAGTCTGAGGTACAGAAAAACTGTCATCATCCAACACTAAGGGAAAGGCAGGTTCTAGGAATCCTTGGCAGAATGTTGGCAGCACTAAATTGTAATAACAATTAAAGCTTTGTTTTCTTAGCAGGATATTATGATTTTATGAGAAGAATGGCACAGGATTTCTACCAGCAGAATTCAGTTGTGCAGTCTGTAAACAGCACAACACAAACTTTATACTACCACTACAGTTATGATTTCCAATCACCTGGACCCTCTGCAGGTCAGGTCAAATCTTAACGTGCAGTTTGCTTTATTAGTACACCAATCATAGTCTAGACTCAAACTATGTAAAAGAAGACAAATCACTTACTCAGTCCTCAGAGGAAACAGATGATGATGATGGAGGTGTCCCTTGCCACCAGTGAGGGGTGGGGGTCGCAGTTCTGTTCCAGGTTCCCACTTAGAACTTGGAGCTGCTTGATTTTCCAGCCAGTGCTCCGTGTGATTTCAGCTTCCCTGGGGCGGGAAGTCAACAACACCTGCTTGGCTGAGTGCCTGGGACCTCCAAGGCCAGCAGGCAAGGGAGGAATCTTCTGGTGCCCAGGAATCTTGAGGATAATAGAGAGGGGAGGTACAAATCTGTTTGGTTTGTCTACTTGGGTCACAGGACCTTCAGCGCCTGAGAATGAGGGAAAGCAAACAAATAATGTGACTGGCTCAGACAGAGTGTGGCACTCGTAAAATGGTGCCATTTATGCTAAATGTGCTAACAGGGTTGAGGGCAGGGAGTACCAGTCATACCTAGTTCAAGAAGTCTGAGAGTTAAATGGGGTACTCATTAACACTGGTCGGATATTATTATTTTATCAATTTCATGCTGAAATGTTATCTAGGTAATTATCTTTAATTCATGAGCAAGAGGGGCTGCAGAGGCACACGGTACCAACCAGTTCAAAAAGAGATTCCACACACTTAGTGACAGCTGTCCATGAGTATTGACTGGACAACAGAGTGCACTCTGTCATTGTTGTGGGTGCTGTGTGGTTTGAGGGGTTTTAGTTAAAATTTGTACCCTGAATTTCCTGCTCTGACTGCAGAGTTCTGCAGCTGGCAAGAGAGAATGTGGGCCTGAGCAGACTCTTGGTCTGATCCAGTGAAAGCTTGGAACTCAAAATAAGCCATCCCTGTCACTGGAACTTGACTGCTTATTTTAAAGCTCTTCTAGTTTCACTTGTGGCATGATCAGACTGTCTAACTTGAAATTATGTATGTAAAACACTTTCATTATCTTACATGTAATATTTAAACTGGTAAAACTCAATGTTAATTGCAAAACAGATATAAAAATACCTTCCATGAGCGACAACAATCAGTCAAACATAAATTTGGGTATTACACTGATGGTGTTTATGTCCTTGGTGGGGTCTTTGTGTTGATGATCATTGATTAATCTCAAGAGTTATGCCATGATCTTTAAGAGTTAAGTAATAATATAATTATATATATTATACATGTTATGCTGTGCAAAGCTCAGTCTCTTGCTTACACCTTCTGGGTTACTAAGGTGTTTGATTCTAAACTTTGCTTCTCAGCAAGTTGGTTTGTCAGTGGCACCTGGCAGCTGCTGTTCTGAAGTAATCTTACAACTTTCTGGGGAAAAATATACTCATTTACTGATCTAAATGTTGGACTACAGAGTATTATATTATTATAAAAGTTATATTCTGCTTAATAAAGTACTTTTTAATCTGTCAGATTTACTGTCTTTGTGATGGGAGGCCTGGAGGAGGGTGTGTTTTTATTTTTAAGGGAAGATTATAATTTGGCATATGTTCAGATTTGGATTCAAGCATGTGTAGTTTATCCCTTCTCCCAGGCTGGCTGAGCACTAGGTTTCCATCTTTTAAAGGAGAGGGAAAAAGCTTCTGTAAAGAAGTTACTGATTATTTCTGATTAATAGTCACATACAAAACTTAATTACCAACTGCTGTTCAAAGGTCCAAATTGTTGGGATATGCAAAACTTGCAAACTGAAATACGGTGTTTTGCATGCACTATAAAATGTTGTTTGTGGATGTGAGCAGGGGAAAACCACCCCAAATTCTATGGAAACTGAAAAAAATCCTAGCTGTAATTTTCAGGAGAAGTTTTGTTTTTAACTAGCTCATTTAAAATGTAGAATGAGTCTGTCAGTGGTAGCCCAAGGGCTAATTTAGTCACAAACAACCAGGGTATAATTTGCTTGCTATGATTTGTGATTCAGAAGATGACAGAGAGAAGTAGTGTGTACCTGCGGGAGGATAATTTTCTGTTTGTTTTATAGCCATGGGTATTATTCTGAAGGTAGTACAAAATACCTCACATCTGCATAACTATTCTGCTGTCAACAATCCAGTGACTCTTCTCCTTGAAGGGAGATTACCTTCAAGGACTTCAGGATTAGTGTAGTTAACACTCATTATACAGATTTAACTGCTCTCTTATGGGTTCAGTCATTTAGATGATACCCTGATGAGTAAGGTATTCATACTTTAAGATCAGTTTTCCTTGAAGTTCTTTACAGACAGAAGATGGCTGGTCAGTGACTGGATTGTGCTAAAAGCAAGAAAGTGAGTCCACCTTGTCATGATGGACTATGGAAAACAATTGAACAAATATTTGCATAGTTTAGAGTTTTTTCTGTTTAATTTTGCAGAAAGTTCCTTGTATAGGAAAGTACTCCATGGCATGAAAACCTCATCAGTTTGTGCTTTTGACTTGGGAAGGTGTTACTAGAAGCATGAACAGTAGGAAACAGCATATGCTTGAACTATGTCTATGCTATATCCTACTTGGAGAGACTTTGACTGTTTCCCTAAAGATTTTCTTTGTTATTTTGGAAATCATAAAACCTGTTCATTCAGTAGCAGTCCTGGTGGTTTCTACAGTCTGACTTGTGTAGTCTATAAAATCACATCTTGACTAAAGATTTGCTTAAAAAAAAAGATTAGGTAAAATGAACTTTCAAACCTTGACAAAGGTGAGTATCTAAATTGTATAGATACTCAGTCTGTTTGGTTTTGTGACCTAAGCTTGTGTAAGAATTTCAGCAGAGCTGCACACTGGGTGAATTTTCCTATAGGTGCACAAGGTATCTGATTTTGTCCTCAAGGAGGACTTGTTTATTTTCTGAAGTGACAAAATCATATTTAAGCCTAAATCTTCCCACTTTTGCACCTGTCATAAATTTCAATAAATATTGAGCCTGAGGACATGTGGACTCTGAGGAGTGCTCTCAAACCTGCCATAATTCAGAGAAGTGGATGTTTGGAAGGTGGGAGAAGGACAGTTATGTTTTTCTAACTGCCTTTCCCAGCTACTGGGCTGGCTGGTTTTGTCTGAGGAGCTTCTGAGATAGTTTTGTGTAAGGAAGCCGTTGCTTATTTGCCTGTGATAACGATGATATTTACATTCTTCTGAATGGGATGGTGACTTGAGCTGCTGCCTTTAACTTTTGAGTAATTGGCCTTTCAATATTTTCAGTTTTGGAATGTGACTTTGTTTTTTTAGGCATTGCATATTTTCAGTTTTCCCCAAAATTTTCATACAAGTTCTGAGAATTAAATTTTATTACATACAACTGCAAAACTTTGAGTACCAGTATTTAGAAGCATCACTCTTTCTATCTTCAGCCACCAGTCTTTCTGGGATAAGTGTGACCAGAAACAAAGGCCATTGGAAAATAAGTAATGCAGTTTGGTTTTCTTCAAAATATAAAAATGTTGATATGAGGGAAAATGGATAATCTGCCCCACAGATTATCTGGGTAGAGCAGCTGAGAACAGTCAGCCCATACAGGATGTTAGTGTTGACTTGAATGAGACCAAATTCTTCGAGCACTTTTCTTGAAGCAATTTACAAATAACAGAATTCGTTATTTCTAAGGTACATAGCTCATCTGTTTAGGAAGTTCTTTTGTGCTCAGGGAACTATCCATATTTCAATTTGAGTATCCTAGATAGCTCAAACTTGTCACTGTCAGTGTTACAGCAGTAGAAAAGTGTTTCATATGTCTGCATGTTAGGCTGGAGCTTTGATAACTGTAAAAACATGTTAAAAAAAGCTATTAGTGATAACAAACCACTTTATTCTGTTTTTATATTAAAAAAGTGAATTTTGTTGGTAATAAAATCCACTAATTTATTTCAATACAGTGTAATTCAACTTTGCATACCTTCCCCACACCCAGTCCTCTGTCTCCTTCCTTTTTTTACTTCAATATTTACAGCAGAATTGCTCCCTTTCATAATTAGGTCACATATTCGACAGTTGCATCTAAAGCTTTGACATGGAATTCTCTGTCTATGTGTATTTTTAGTCTAGGAAAAACAGCCTCTTATAATGACAGCTCCTGAGATAAAGTGTGCAAACTTTCTCCTTCCTTTTTCCTCCTCAGGAAGTATTGATGAAGATGTTGTGGTGATTGAAGCATCCTCCACTCCCCAGGTCACTGCTAACGAAGAAATAAATGTTACCTCAACAGACAGTGAAGTGGAGATTGTCACAGTTGGTGAAAACTACAGGTGAGATTTGCATCTCTCTGTATTAATAGTTTTGCTTGTCTGCAGGTCTGTCACAATACTCTGTGTGGCTTAACATCACTGAAATTCTGACCAGGATGCATAGTAAGCATTTTTTGTTAAAAAAATACAAACCAAGCCCAATAAAACAAGACCCAAACAACAACAAAAAAATCCCATGAACAAAAAACCCCAAAGGACAGCTTTGCCAAATCTTGACAATTCCAGCTACTCTGGAGTTGCTGAGGTGGTTGTAGTTGGTGTGACTGATGGGCAGAATTTTGGCAAAGCAAAAATTCCTGGGAGATCCTGGAGAGAGCAAGTGTAGGCTGAGTTGACTGTCTAGGGATTACCTGAGCATTTCTCAGGAAGGCATCCTGCTTTTTTTGAAGCCCCTGCTGTGTATGCTCTCCTGTTCTTCCATACCTGTCTGGAAGTTTAGTTCCATATTTGTCAGGTTTTACAGAATCTATTAAAGTGGAGTTCCTTGAAGAAGAAAACTTCAAACCTGGCTGAAGCCAGATAAGATACATTAAAAAAATAGCTTTGTATCTTCCCAGCATCAATAAGAAATGTTTTCTGTGGTAGCCTTAAAAGACTTGAAGAAATTAGTTCTTTCTTCCCTTATCTTCTGCAACACTACAGCCAAAACAGTGGTAGCTCCATGGTGATTTGTGCAATGGAGTTTGTTTGTTTTTAGTGAAGTCATTCCTTTTTCTTCACATTTTCCTTTTCTGAAATCTTGGTACATTGTTTTTCCAAATTAGAAAATAAGAACCACTTGATTTATGTAAATACTGAAGAGTCAAAGTTTTTTGAGAGCGAAATGTTAAATACAATACTGTAAAAATATTGTTCCCTTAATTAAAGACTGTATGCTGCAAGGAGGATACAGACTCAAAGATCATTGTTTTGAGTGTTTGGATTTATATGGCTAAATTAAACAGGCTGGGTGCTGAGTGTTATAAGAGAGAAAGAAAACCATCCGTTTCCTTAGGTATGGTTACAGGCTTATGATTTCCTCTTCTCAAGCCACATTTCATTTTAGTTTCAGTATTACACAGAGCTATATTTGTTCTTCAAGAAGGGGGAACAAAATAATATTAGAGAGAGAAGTCCAGAGATTTTGCACTTCTTGGACTTTTTTGAAATTTGAAGTATAGAAATTGTCCTCTGAAAACACAATCTGTCACAAGTTAACAGGCAAAAGTACTTTAGGTTCACAAATTGTTATTGTCTGCAGCTTTGTTGTCATTTATAGACCTGCTGTTTCAGACTGCATAGGAGCAGTGTAGGATTTGGAGAGTCTTCATCTACTATTAATAAAGTTAAAACAACGTCAGATGTAATTGCTGCCTGACCATGTTTGTAGGGTTTCACAGTGAATTTTTTGCAAGTTACCTGTATGTACATGGAACAAGGTATAAAGACCTTTAAACTCTGTGTTGGGTATTTGCTGTTTTGTTATGTGGCAAAGGCTGCAGCAGTGCTTGTGAGGACTCGTCAAGTGAACGTGGAGTTGGGGACTGTTTCCACGTGACAATGCTTTTCTGATGATAGAAAAAAAAATACTGGCAAAATGTAGGTCAATACTTAAAGTGTTAACCTTTTCTAAGGTCTCGTTCTGCACTTGGACACACAAGATCCCACTGGGGACAGAGCTCTGGCTCTCACGCTCCACGAGCTCCGGAGCAGCGGAACCGCAGCAGGATCTCCACGGTCATCCAACCCCTGAGGCAGAACGCAGCTGAGGTCGTGGACCTCACGGTGGATGAGGATGGTAAGTGATGTGGTCAGAAAATCCTCCTGTGGCCTTCCTTGTAAAATTAAAATTTAGCCATTTCCAGTCTGTCTGTTACATCTAATTTTTCTTCCAAAGCTGCCTTGGGTGTGTGTCTGAGGGCTGACTCACCAGGCAGAAATTACAGAGCAGGTTGGAACTACTTCTTGAAAAATATGCTCTTACTTCAATACAACACTATAAATGGAAAACATGTTGTTGCCTATGCTTTGCAATAGTTACTGTTCTTTCAGGCCTTGGTGTAAAAATTAAAAAACAAAAAAAAACAAAAACCAACCCGAAACTAGTAAAGTGTGTTATGTTTCTGAAGCTGTAACCTTCCATTGTTCCCTAACATTAAAACCTGCTGGCACTACTAAGTCTATTGCTGAAAATCATAAGAGCAACTTCCAGGTATATTCAAAAAGTTGAGAGAAGGAAAAACTAAAGCTCATGTAGATTTTTGCACGTTTATTTTTTTGTGCATGGTGGTGGGTTTGGGGCTTTCTTGGGTTCATATTACTTTTAATGTTTTAACAGCAGTTTTGTCCTGTTGTGGTTCTGTCCCTGACTTCATCACAAGATCTAGTATTTGCAGTGTCTTATTCTTGAGGTTGACTTGATTTTTGGGGTGGGTTGGAGAGTTGGAAAGGCTTGGGAATAGTTTTGATTGGTTGATGGTTTTTAAGGGAGAGGCTGAGTTGGTTTACAGATTCTTTATGGATTTACTGTGAAATATCCCAGCTGAAAGGGTGTAGGCTTCTATTGCTTTACTCCTAAAACTCAAATTATAGAATTTAGTCTTAAATTCAGAAACCAAATTATTTTTAAAAATATTCTTACTGAATGAACTTTTACTTCTGCAGTGATATATTTAAGACTAGTTGTTTCTCCTGCTTCCTGGAGGAAATGACTTTCTACGATGAGTCTTCCAGGATTTCAGGAATATTATTTTTGGGTTTAGGTGTCAAACTTCACACATGAACTAGTGTAAAATGATAGAACTTCTGCCTTAACACTGTTATAAGGAAGCTGTGCAGTTTATCACAACTTTGCTGTCTTCTTCAAAGGTACAGGACTTAAAACTTTGCTTTCATGAGCATAAGGGTCGTATCCCCATCTGTCTTCCTGGATCAACGTCTGTGAAGTGTGTTAAGAAGTTGTTTCTCTTAGCTAATAGTTTGAGGTTGACCGAGCCCCCTGTTTTTTACTGGTTTTGTGGGGGAGAAGCAGAACTGTCTGTGTGGCTGATGGTGAGCCAGGCCCAGGCTGGCAGGGTGGCTGAGGCTGGTGGGAGCTGGGCATGGCTGACTGCAGGAGGGCACTCAGAGCTGTTGGCATTCAGACCAGAGCACTGTGTGATCACTGCTCCTTATGGACTATACATAGCCTATGTACTTGCTGATTTTTTTTTTTTCTGATTTTAAACATTAATACATTTCTCCACAAATGTTCTCCTGTAAATAAAATTAGTATGTTGAAATGCCACATTAAAAACCAAAGGAATTTAGATGTAGGTATCAGATCATGTTTTTTTAATGTGATGAGTTGGAAGACTTGCAAGAGTGAAGATATATTTATTCTTTTGCTCACTGAGTTGCTGATACTCCTACTAGATATAGATAGAAATCTTAAAAAGGAGTCATATTTTATTTTGAGACTTGGTGTAAGAAAAGTATTTGAAGTTTTTTGATGCTTTTTTTCCTCTGATATCCATGCAGACATTTTTACTAAAAAAACCTGAGCTGTTTCTGATAATCTTCCCTTTCATGGTATCTTTGTATTCCTAGTCGTGTCATTGCCTTGTCATGAACTGGAGAGAAATTTCAAACTTAGAGAAAAAGATTTTTTTCAGAACTAAATTAGAATTATGCCACCAAGTATAACTTTAAATTTTAACCTGATTACAATTACCTAGTAAAGGACAAGATTTATCAAGGCCAGAATTGAGAATTTCTTGTAAAATAATTCAAAAGCAGCAACAACAATGAAAAAAAAACAGCAGCTTTTACAGGTTAAGGAACATGAAAGGTTTTTTGTTTCACTAGAGCCGACAGTTGTGCCAACCACATCAGCTCGAGTGGAGCCGCAGGTCGTGAGTTCTGCTTCCAGTACCAGTACCAGTACCTCTACCTCAGAGCAGGCCTCTGATGCAGCTCCCACCATCTCCACCAGCCAGCCCTCTGCAGCTCCAGAGACGACTCCCAGTCTTCCCAGTGGCAGCACTGCTGGCACTTCAGCTGGAGGTACGGAAAAAGAGCTTTCTGAGCTGTTGTGTTGCTTCCGAGTGCAAAGGAGGTAGAGGAAGTTCATGACATCCTCTAGATCAAATGGCATTACTGCAACGTGACAGTAGTAAGTTGAGAGGACAGGAATCTGAAAAAGATCATTGATTTTTATGCAAAGATAAAGGAAATTGTGCTGGAGCTTTCTGCTTTTGCCTGTTGGAACGATTTGGTTATACGTAATGAATCACCTCCTGGCTTTCTGAGGAGATGGAATGTAGTTCACTGGGAATTCTCCCCTTGCACTGTGTTACAGAGATGGGGGGTTTTTAATGTGTTGTAAGGAAGTAAAGGATTTCTTGAACCTCCTGCTGTAGATCACTTCCTTGGGAGCACATTTATACAGACCTGTACTAGAGCTGGACATACAAGTAGCACTGATAACAGCACTGGAACAAGTGCCCTGTCTGCAGGTGAGGGACAAAAAACCTGGGCAGACCTCAGGAATTTGAGGTCTCTGCATATTAACTACAGGGAGAATCTTTTCTCCTTTCCCTGTTGATAACATGCCTTAAATTAGTGGAATAAGGCAAGTGTCAGTTCACGTCCTCCAGTGGTTCCCATGAGTACATTCCCTGAACCATTCAGTTTTGGTTCATTTCTCAGGCATAGCTTAATGTTATTTGTATCCAGTGTGTTTTGTTTTAGTCTAGATCTATTTTTCAGTTGGTTAATTATTTAATCATGAAGTACAGAGGGTGTTTTCCTATATTAAGGCACTGCTTTACAGTGATCAGCTTCACTAATTTCTTTCACTTGAATATGAATTTTCTTTGTCTTCAAGATGACATAAGAAGAACTGCATCTAATACAACACTGGAAACCGGCCCTCCGGCCATGCCGAGGTTACCATCCTGCTGCCCTCAGCATTCTCCTTGTGGAGGACCTTCACAGACTCACCATGCCTTGGGGCACCCACATACAAGCTGCTTTCAGCAGCACGGCCACCACTTCCAGCATCACCACCATCACCACCACAACCCCCACCCAGCTGTCCCGCTCTCTCCTTCGTTCAGTGACTCCAGCTGCCCTGTGGAAAGGCCTCCCCCCGTGCCTGCCCCGTGTGGAGCAAGCAGCAGTTCTGGCACCACGTACCATGAGCAGGCACGTTTCATTCTTGGGGCTCTCTCACAGTCACACCTTGTGACTTGGGATTTCAAGCTGTTACAGATGTGAGAGGATAGAATAGGGTGCTGAATTATAAATTATTCTCTTGCTCTGCATTGGGCGTTATAGAAGGGAACTTAAAAGGAGGATTTGAGGTATAATATAGGAATGCAAAAACCTGAAATTTTATAGAAAGTTACAATCTGACAGGTAATCGTTGACAGTAGACCTCTTGATGACTATGATAGTGACTATTTAAGGAAACCAAACATAAGTACTTTGAAATGACTCTGCCCATCACAGCAGTTTTGCAATGCAAATAATTGAGCTGCTTTGAGAGAACAAAAACATGAAGTCTAATGTTCTGTATATAAAAGGTATAAAAGAGTTGTGTCTCTAAAAGCATTGTTTTTTAAGGCTTTTTCAGTAACTAAATCACAGCTTTAAAACAATACAGTTATAGGAAAGAACAGAACTCTGCAATCTTAGTTTACAACATGCAGAACTATCAGTCTGGTTACTGTTTTGAGTGTAATACATTAGGCACAACTGAAATGCTAAAAGCAGGTTTTTCATCCAAATATTTCAGTGCACGTAGCTCCCATATACTTACTGATTTATCCATCAGGGGTTTGGTTGGTGTTTTTATGGTTTTGGTTGGTGTGGTTTGGTTGGTTGGTTTTTGTGAGGTTTTTTGTTTGGTTGGGTTTTTTTACAGAATCTATTGTAATGAATTTAGTCTCTCACCAGATGCGAGAACTTAGGAATAAGAAATGTTAACCACGTTTAAAGAATGTTCCAGAGTCAAGCCTTAAAACAGTTGCTTGTGATAGTAGTAATTTTTATTTTTTATAACGTCACGTTTGAATGTGACTTTGTTTTCAATGTCTGGAGAATTGCTTGAAAAAAGCTGGTTTGTTTGCGCAGCAGGCACTGCCAGTGGACTTAAGCAGCAGTGGTATAAGAAGTCATGGGAGTGGTGCTTTCCATGGAACGTCTGCTTTTGATCCCTGCTGTCCTGGTTCTTCATCCCGAACGACAATCTACGGGCACCAGGCTGGGGCTGGGCCGAGCCAGTCCCTGACCATAGACGGATATGGATCGAGCATCGTTGCTCAGCCACAGCCCCAACCTCCTCCTCAGGCATCGCTCTCCTCCTGTCGCCATTACATGCACTCTCCTTGTAAGTACTGATGGAACAGCTGCCCTGACAACATGGGAAAAACTCCTGCTGTCTGCTTGCACTCACCTTAGAACTGGCCTAGCAAAACTCATATTAAGAAATGTGTTTGTGTAGGGGATTTGAGCAGGATCAAGGATAAAGTTAAAATATATTCTTCTGAGTGACCATAATAACACTGAGAATTTAAAACTGTATCTACTATGAAAATATTTTTCATCTCCTTTGTATTCTAACAGTGGCTTTTTATTTAATTTTCCTTAGTTGGTCCCTTGTCCCATACCCCCAGTGAGTTTTGCTTTAGCAAACTCAGAGCGAAAACTCACTTGTTTGTGATTTGGTTTTTTGGGTTTTGTCTCTACAGAATAGTGAACTTGGAAAGGGGCAGGGATTGAACTTTTAAAGTTAAACAGCAAACATGAAGTAAAATTGGGAGGGGATTCTCCCCATTTACTCTATTCTCATGAGACTCCACTTGGAGTATTGCATCCAGATTTGGGCTCCTCAGCACAAGGACACAGACCTGTTGGAGCAAGGCTGGAGGAGGGCCATGAGGTTACTCAGAGGTCTGGAGCACCTCTGCTATGAGGACAGGCTGAGAGAGTTGGAGTTTTTCAACCTGGAGAAGAGAAGGCCCCAAGGCTGATCTTACTGCAGCCTTCCAGTGCCTAAAGGGGCTCCAAGAAAGCTGGAGAGGGACTTTGGACAAGGGCATGTAGTGGCAGGACAAGGGGGAATGGCTTCCAACTGAAAGAGTAATGTTATATTGGGTATAAGGAAGAAATTCTTCCCTGTGAGAGTGGTGAGCCCCTGGCACAGGTTGCCCAAAGAAGCTGTGGCTACCCTATCCCTGGCAGTGTTGAAAGACAAATTGGATGTGACTTTGACCAACCTGGTCTAGTGGAAGGTGTTCCTGCCCATGGGAGGTAAGTTGGAACAAGATGATCTTTAAGGTCCCTTCCAACCCAAACCATTCTATGTACGTTTCTCAGTGTGTATCACACTTTTTTTTTCTTTTTTTTTTTTTTTTGCCAACACTGGCAAACAGAATACTTTTGACTGCAGAAAATGTAGGGTTTTTTGTAGGGTATATTGCTAGAATCACTTTATTTAAAAATTGCATAAACACATGTCCCCATGTTGCCACTGTTTACACTAGTGTAATAATACTGAAGCACCTGTGTGAAGATACTTTTTAAAATAAATTTACTTCAAAACCTGCTACTGACCAAATAAAAAGCACCTGATGTTTTCATTGCAGATGCTTCCTTGACCAGACCTCTTCACCATCAAGCTTCTGCATGTCCTCACTCTCATGGAAATCCTCCTCCACAGCCACAACCTCCACCTCAAGTAGATTATGTTATCCCTCATCCAGTGCATCCCTTCCATCCTTCAATCTCCTCTCATGCATCTTCTCATCCTGTTCCACCTCCACCACCAACTCATCCTTTAGCCAATGCAGCTGCTCCAATCCCACAGCATCTTCCTGCAACACACCAGCCTATATCCCATCACATCCCTGCAACAGCACCTCCAGCACAGAGGCTACATCCTCATGAAGTGATCCAGAGGATGGAGGTCCAGAGAAGAAGGATGATGCAACACCCAACGTATGTCACAAATGTACTCAGAACAATATCTAAACATATAATTCATTCCCCTCAGGTTTGTAAAATGTTGCATGTGACTCTCAGACTGTTAATTGCATGGTTAGGAACTGTTAGTGTTAGACCATGGTGAGGAGTGTCTTTATGTACCGTCACAGTCACATGAGCATTAGGAGTGAACCTGCTCCGTTACATCTCCCAGTAGTGTCTCCAGGTAAGGCACCAGTGGGGCATGGAAGACAAGGGGACCCTGTGTTTCTTTTGTCCACTGCTCATCCTCTGAATAACAGGCAGGAATTCCTTTTCAAGCTTAACAGCCTGAAAGTGCATCATAAGCTCTGTTCAAACGTGTTCCTTGACAGCGTGTTTTGCCTTGAGATTCTTTTTATCTAACTAGTGCTTTAAAATTAAATGAACAATTTATCAAGGGGACTGTTTACCAAGTTTAATTCAGATTAGATACCTGCATGTCTTTCCTATGGCTTTATGTGTTTAGAAGAGGAGGAGGAGATTAATCACATTCACATGCAGATATTACACAATGTTGAGATGTAGCTTTGGTGATATTAAGACATGCTCCTGTTGTTGCTTAACTAGAGTCATTACACTAGTGTCAACACATACCAGGTCAGTAGTAGTAGCTTACTATTCAATCACATAGTAACTGAAGTTACTTTGATTCTGGAGATAACAACATGTTTAAATATCCAAGGGATTTTCAGGAATGAACTCTCTAGTTGTTGCTCCTAATTTTGTTATACAAATTTTACTCATAAGCAACTTAAAACACATTTAATGCTTGAAGAGAATTTTGCTTTAACTGCAACTTTTGAGGCAGTTTCCAAGTTATTTATAAAAATACCTATAGAGAGTAACTGCTCGCAAATGGCACATGACAGACTAGGCAGTGACTGTGAGACAGCAGGATATTTAAGAAAAAATAATAGCAGTAGCTATCTTGTCAGATCTGGAAATTTTCCAGTAGTTTGAGGATTGGAATTGCAGTTATTGACATTTCTTAGCCTTTCGTAGCATTTCCTTTCTATGTACAGAAATCGTAGTCAAATGTTGATAGTTTTTTTCTTGACATTCTCTCTGAAGTCACCAGTCCTGGGTCAGACAGTGGTGGTTTGCTCAGTGACATTTCTCCTCTGTAGTTCTGATTTGTAATCGGGTGGAATTGTTTTGCCCTTGGTCTTTCTATTCCCCTCTAATCCTCATACAAATTCCATGCAAAAATCAGTCTTGTAGGTGTCTTGGCCCAACCTCATATAAATCAGATTATACCCTGACAACCAGAAGCTTGTGCCTATTTGCTCTGTTATTGAGTACAGACTTAAGACTGCCAGCAGGCTTGTGCTTCCTTCAGTTCCATGGCCTGGAATCTCAAAGTGTTCTTAACCTGTTCTTTCACCCTTAGTTTCTACAAATAACATAAGGGATAGTCTAGCTGGTATTCCTTCTGTCTGACAATGTAGGAGCTTTTCAGGATTGGAGGTAGAGATTGGTTTGAGTCCCCTTCTCACTGTCATGGATCAAGTGTGGATACAACAGCTGGAACTTCTTAGGGTCTTGGAATCGGCCATAAAATGTGCAGAAGGCAGTGGATCAGGGTGCACTGCATTTGTCTGACATATGGGCTTTCTGTTTACTTTAAATCTCGTTACCCGCTTAATATAAAGACTGTGGGATGAACAACCAAAGAGTGTTACATTTATAAGTTATTTCTATAATTCAAATATGGGGTTTTTTATTAAAATGTGTTCTTCCAGATTTTTCCCCCGTAGTTACTTGATAAACTGAAGGGAGGTGAGACTAGAAGTAGGTTCTGCTGATAGTCCTGTTCCCGTGTTGATCTGTGCCATTGCAGAAAATGAACACTTCTCACATAATTTACACAGATTTCTCTGGAGAAGTGTCTCTCTGCAGTGATTACAATAGTGTGCTGTTAAGGGAATTTTTACCTCTCTAGACAGGTAAATTTACAAAATGTCTGGTCTGCTTTGACGGGTAGTTTAAGGTGGTAGCGAACCTCAAGAACATGCACTGCTTTTGGTAAAATCCAAGTTTCTAGCTTGAATAAAACCCCATCCTTTTTGCACAGAAAGCAATGGAAGGAAAATTACTAAGCCATTTCTTCTTGTGACTGAGAAGTGATAAAGTAACAAAAATCAGCCAGCAGGTTTTTTTTGAAGTTTGTTTTTTTTTTCCCAAATCCATAGTTTTTCTATACTAACTGGCATGGAAAAAAGCTGTGTGCTCTTATTACCTGAGCTATGACAGGTTTCAAGGAAAATGTCCTCTTATTAGTGTATTAAGTTTCCCCTAATTACTTTTGCTGGTATAGTTTTACTAGAAATAAACTGCAGCAGAGCTGTAAATGACTCTAAATCTGAATGTGGCTGTCATGTGGCCTTCTCTTTCCTACCTGCTGTTTGAGGTCAGCATTAAACACTTTGTCAGCCGTTGTGTCTGCTGAGTGAAGGACAGATCACTGCAACTGAAGCTGGCTTTGGTTTTGAATATGAAATCAATGTTATAATTAGTTTCTAACTTATACCTAAAGCTGAAATTAAAATACTGCATGGGGAGTTTCTTATTTTAAAGGCATTGCAGTAACTCAGTCTGTAACATTTTGGTTATAGATGTTGCTTTCTTGATATTAACAAATATGTGAAAATAACTGCTGCTGGTTTCTGTTGTTTAGACGTGCTCATGAGCGGCCTCCTCCACATCCTCACAGAATGCATCCCAATTATGGGCATGGGCATCACATTCATGTGCCTCAGACTATGTCTTCCCATCCTCGACAAGCTCCAGAGAGATCTGCCTGGTTAGTAATCAGACACTATTTGAGCTCTTTGGGACTGGGGACAGAAGGGCAGGATGTGCTGATCAGCACTGATAATGCTGGCTGGGATTTTAACACGTGCTGCATGCACCCGTAGCTTAAAATTTGTAGATGTTGATATGGCTTTGAAATACTGCTCTGAGTACTCAGTGTCTTAAATATATTTCTAGTGTTTTTAGAGGCTTGGATTTGAGGTGTGAACTAGTTTATTCTCTCTCCTCTTTGTTTGAACTTACTCAAAATTGCATCAGGCCCACTTATGAAGCATGCACTTAACTTCCACAATATATTTATTATTTTAAAAAAATATTTTGGACCCTTAGGGAAGAGCTGCATGCTTAGCAGCTGCTGTTCCCACAGCATGTGCTGCAGAGAAGGCTCCACAAGGATGATATTCCTGGGCACTACAAATGTGGAGTCACATCAACTAATTTCTCATAATAAATCTTCGCAGCTGTTTTAAAAAGAACTTTCACTTAGGGTAGGATGTCTTTAGTGAAGTTTAAACAAGGTTAGAAAAAAAAAAGATTCCTATGTAAACCTGTTATTGTAGCTGTACTGGGCTGTAGGTTTTCCAAAACAGTGGAATTGTACCTAGGAGGCAAGATGTACCTTTCCTGTAATGCCACTTTCATTCATGTGACAGGGAACTAGGAATTGAAGCTGGTGTGACTGCAGCTACTTACCCTCCAGGGCCTTTGCATCCTCACCTGGCCCACTACCACGCACCTCCTCGACTGCATCACTTGCAAATAGGGGCACTCCCTCTAATGGTAAGGACGTAGCTTATGAAAAATTATGGTCATTGCTCATTGTAATTTTGTTTGTCAGGAAAATTGGACATGTATACATCGCTGCAAAGTGCTTCAGCTGAAGAAAAGAATACTTTCACTGTGTCTGTCTGTGTGTTACTCCCAGCTAGGGAGCTTGAACCAGGCTCATTGTGTGATAAAACAGTACAGGACATTAATATTTCTAACTTCAGCTCCTGTAAAATGAAACATACTTGAATTAAATTGTCACTTGCATTGCAATGCATTGACCCTCTGCATCTGATTTTTAAAGTTCAGGTTCCTCTTTATTGAGTTTTGGATTGGTAAAGGTACCAACTTTTTCCAACCAGTGCATGAGAATTAGTCTGATGCTTTTTTTTAAGGTGTATATACAGCACAATTAGAATTCCGTCTAGAGATTTGATTGTTTTCAAATAATATTTGTTATTCATCAACCTAATTCTTTGTGATAAAGAATATAATTTTGTAGCATTAAGTCTTACTGAGCTGGTTTAAAAGTAAACTGGTGGGAGAAATGAACTCAACTCAAGAGAGGTTATAATTTACTAAAAAGATTACAATAGATACAATGATACAGAGAAAACTGATTTTTAACCCCCAAAGACAGATGTATAACCTATCACCCTGGGACAAGAACAGAACAGTGTTTGTTGGCCTCTGTGCTGAGCACCACATGGCCCCCTGGGTGCAAAATAAAAGGAAAGGAAACCTGTTGGTATGGATGATGGTCACAGTCCTGTCCAGAGTGGCAGTCACAGTCCTGTTGGAGTTCTGGTCCTTCTCTGGATCCAACAAGTGGTACCAGAAGTCCCAGGGCTAATAAGTCAACTATGGGATTTACTTCCATTATTGCTGTGAAGTTTCTAGAAACTTCAGAGTTCAGAGGATTCTTATATTACAGTGTGATGAGAAACTAGTTGTATTTTAACTTTAATTGGGGTATTCCTACAACTAAAATGTTACATGAGCAAGTAGTTGGGACCCCAGTGTTGATTGTCTTTTTAGTAGTAGAACAGGAGAAAGCTCTGATAGGAAACTTCTGAACTTTGTGTGATAAAATATTTTAGGGACTCCTGCCTTTCTGCTCAGTAGCTGCTGTTTCTAATTGGTAAAAGAGGCAGATGAAATAAGGTTCTTTAACTCTACAGCAATTTGTGCATATGTTTGTGTAGGGATATTCTAATACTTATAATGGTAATTCCTGAGTGTCTGAGCTGAAGCTGTTGGTATCTTGAGGCCTTGTACACGCTGTACTGACAGCATGTTTTATCATGAATAGACTGCTGTAAGCAGCACTTCCTCGAGTGTTTGGGATCTGGCTTGAACCTTGCTGAGATCAGATCAAGTTTTAGGACTTTGAAGTTGTGTTGAGTCTGTGACTAATTTTAGGTGTATTCAGATTACATGCACTAGGTGAAGACAAAGGCAGGTTCAAGCACTGCTAGAAGTTATATATGCAGTGAGTTCAAAGCATTACAAATGCCTTTTGATGATTCTCCCTCTTCTATGGCAAATAAAAGTCAAAGTTTTCATTTGCATGTACGTGAGAGTACAGTGGATATGTCAGCAAAATTGATTTTTAACAGAGAGCAAGTAGTGGAGTTTTTCATCTAACAAACTTAAAGTTCAACAGAAGTGCCATAAAAGGCAACAGATGAAGTGCAGCTGCCACCTTTTTGGGTTTTTTTCTGTGTAACTTCAGGAATAGGGATGGGGGAGGAGAGGCTGAACTGTGGGTAAGAGTCCCTCTGTTAAGTGGTTAATGTTCTGAGGAGGGCTTTCTTCTCTCTGTAAGTACAGAGAGTACTAAGTAGAAATTTCCAATTTCCAGTCATTAGTGATGTTTTTGATGCAGATGTCATAAACTGCTGCTGTTCATTTAGTTCATTTGTTTGTTTTGAGAGGGGGTTGTCTTCTAAAGTAATTGATGCAGTCACTCAAAAATTTGCTTAGTGTTGAGTCCACTTTCTGAAATGCCACACAGCCCTGTTGGCAGTATGCGTTTCTCCTGTGGAGTCATAAAACCCCTTCAGACTACTGCCAGACTGTAAAGGGCATAATGGATTATTTGGGCTTTAATGACATTAGGATTCTGATATATCAGTTTCTGATTTAAGTTAACTTGATCTTCATCTACTCAGTGCTGGAATGTAGACTGCAGTTGTAATCCTCAGGGGGACAAAGTGATAAAGATATGTGAGGGAAGATAATCAGTATTCAGCAGCTTTGACAGACCAAATAGAGGGTGAGGGAAACAAAATCTCCTTTCCTACTAGCTTGGGTGAAGAAACTTTTACCTGTTTAAGTGTTGCTTCTGGAGGAGTCCTAGATTAAAAGCAGTTAGGAAGAGCTTGCTTCATATCTGTGTAGACAAGGGCCAGGCTGTTCCCTTCCTGGATTTAACACAATTACTTTGAGTGTGACCCTGGCTTAGAGTAGTTTGTGTTCCACTTGTTACTGTTTTAATGTTGTGTGTGTGCTGAGGAAAGATCTGTCAGATGAATTCCATTGTGGACAAATATCCCTTCTGCTAAACTGATCACTTTTAGGAAGACTCAAGTGAGGATCAGTGCATGGCATAACTAATGAAACAGCAGACAGTAGGGACACAGGAGACCAAAGCTTTTTGTCTGTTCTCTCTGTTCTTCCCTGATGCCAGTGTTTGTTGTTAGAAGCCACTTCAATTTCTGTTTAGTCTGAATGCCTTCGGCTGCTTTTTTGGCACTGTTGATGAAAGACTTTTTGCCCTGCACCAGTTACTACATCTGGGGGGACAGGATGGCAGTTTCTGTAATTTAATAAGCTGACATAGGTGTTAGAAGGAACATGACTTTTTCATAGTGAACTACATACCAGCCTTAATTGTGATTACCATAGATACAATCTACAATTTTCAGATCATATTATGGTTAGTAGTGGGAGGTGGTGATGGGTCGTGTTTTGTGGTTGTTTTTTTTTTTGGTTTTGTTTCTGTTTTATTAAATATATCTTAAATATGGAAGCTATCTACATGATTCTGAAATTGTTTCAACTACCTGTTAAGCAAAGAATTAGCATACAGGGTATGCTGTTCCAGCCTCTTGATTCCAGCTTCTTCTGCCTTTTTGAACAGTATCCTGTTGAATGGGAATTTCAGAGGTGGGGAGTGTGGAAGGGGAATTATTTGGCCTTTGTAGTTCGCTAGTATGGTGTAATAAATCTCTCTACAGTTGGTGCAAGCCTTGAGAAGACTCCTTAATTTTTATCCGTGAACCTCGACTACAGCTTGTAGGTCAGAGGGAGTTGTTTGAATCATAATTTAAAAAAAAAAAAACAACAAAAAAACCATAAAACCCCCCTCACCCCAAAAAACTGAATGAAAACAAAAAAAAACCAAATAAAAACAACAACAAAAAAACCCCAAACAAACCTAAAATTTAACCTCTCTCAGGTGTTACACATCCAGTTTTCAATATATGCTGTGCCCCTTTTTTCTTCTGTTGCAGAGCCTGACTGTTCTGTTCCTTTACCTGCTGAATGATTCAGAGTGGTTGAGGCCATCTTTACACTTAGTTGTAATAATTAGGAGGGGTTTGGAGGTACAGGACAGTAGGTCCCAGCACATTATGGTAGATGTGGGCTGGTCAGAATAATATTGCTCAGAGTGTAGACATGCAGGTGTTGCAGCTCTAAGAGATGCAACTGTTCTGTGCCAAAAAAGCAAACAAAGTCCTGTAAAATATCTGAACACTTAAAGCTGTAACTTGGTGTAGTAATAGTAGTTAAAAATGAACTTTAGATTAGCCTTGAATAGCTGCATCAAATACAATTGCATTTTTTGAGAAAACGGACTTTGGTCATGCAGCTTCTATTTCTTTTCTTAATATAAACATGAATTACTGTTCTTTGGGGGTTTTTTAGAATATAGGCTTTTGAAGAGGCTCATTTTATGTTCCCCTCAGACACGGGTACAGCTGGGTTTTATCTATGCAGCAGGTGTTACTTATTCCTTTATACAGTGTCTCTCTATGAAAACTGCAGCTTTTCCTTGTTCAAATTTGACTTAAGACATTAAATGATTGGCTTTACTTCTTTTTGAGTGTTGATAGTAGCTGAGCAGTGAACTGAATAAGCTTACTGTTGGAAGTTGTTTTAATATATATGAAGATGACATTTAATATGAACCACAGAATAGAAGGTTGGGATGGACAAGTTAAATAGTACCAGACAGAGGAAGAACCTCTCCACTGACTGTGGCAAGTGAAAAGCAGAAATATCCTGCAAAGATAGAGGGTAGCAGGGAAGAAAACCTCCCCTGCAGTTTAGCTGTTTCAAACTATCTCAGAATGTTTGTGTTGTAAACGGCTCAGACTTGGCCTTGGATTTTTTTAGTTGCTGCAGATTTTTGCGATCATGGGAAGTGTCAATAGAAAGTGCAAAACCAGAAACAGATGATACTTGTTCTACAGGAAAAAACTCACGCTGAAATTTGTAGGTCCAGAGTATATTGCTTTAAAAAATATATATATTATTTTGACTGTATCCAAAAGAATATATATAAGCCCTTTATGCAGACTGGCATTGCCTTTAACTACTTACATTCTTCCTTAGCTTTAAACTTTTCCTTTTTTCTTATGTTCAATATGAAAACTTACTGAAAATAAACTTAATTTGTGTGTGAAACTGTTTCAAGAGAGCTGAAATATTTTTGCATTTGAAGCTTGATGGTAATTGTGAAAAATACTTCAGTAAGTCTGTTCTTAGTTGGGCATTATTGATAGTTCTCTCTTGCCCATCTCTTCTCCATCGTGTATCACAAATGTACTCAATTAAAATCTCGCTGTATTAGCAGACAGTTTATTCTGCAGGTGTAAAACAACTGGGCTTTTTCTTACAGAGATGTTTTTTTCAAAGTAGTGTTTTACTTGGCCAGAAGTACAAGCTGTACTCTGAGGATATTTTATAAAAAAGCCTGTACACAATGTATGTTCAGATTATTTTGCAGAGTTGTTATGCCATCCCCATCAGCATAATATGAGGACCTGTTTATCAGCATGAAAATATATCATCCCACATGATATTTCTGTTGTCTGAGTTCAGTAGTTTGCTGTGGTATGTGCTCGGAGAAATTCCTGGGTTTGCAGTGTTGAAATTAAATTTAGTAGGTTTCTTAAATAGTCTCCAGTAGCAGAATTTGTTCCAAATAGGAGACCTGTCCAGGTGCATATCACTGCAATTGGCAAACTGTGACTGGTGAGGCAATTGGAACTGTAATTACTGTAATTGGAACAGAATTACACAATACACCCAGGACTTTGCAGCTCCTGTAATGGTGCAGTATCTGCACTGTCACATGCATTTCTTTCCAAAGGATTGTTTTCAAATCCTGGTCAGTACAAAAAGCAGGAAGTGAAAATCACTTCTGAGACTTGGGTTAATTTTTGTCAGGACCTTCCCTTCCTCTGAGTGGTGGCAATCGATTCACAATGTAATAACAGGCAATAGAAACTTCCAAATGATGCCAGACAGGTCTATGCCCAGTAAAAACCTGGGACAGTAAATATGTTCATAGTGTGAATGAGTGACCCAGTTATTTAAATGTGTTTTCTGTAATTGGAAGCCGAAGTAGAATTACACACCTAAATACAGCATGAATCGTAAATCACTGATTATCTGAGACAGATTTCTCACAATGTAGTTTTTACAAATTAGAATATTTTTAATTCACTGCCCCAGACTTCCTTTGTTACAGCCACAGTTTGTACTGTCAAACAGTAAGATCTATGACACCAACAGATACTACTTACAGGAAATGTTTAGATATGTGCACAAATATGCATCCTCAGTTTCTATACCTCTGATTTGTTGTAACTTAATACTGGTGTTGTGGCTCTATTTGTGGCTCCTGATTGGCACTGTGAGGTGGTCATTTAACAAGCACCATGTAAACTGCTTTAAAATAATCAGATTCTATGTTTCTTTTGTGGAAAAAAATATTTAGGGCAGAGAAATCTTTTTTATCCCTGTCGGCTTTTAGTTGCAGTACTGGATTTGAAAACTACAGAAAGGTAGCTTACTGGGCTGTTATGTGCTGTGAGTAGCTTTGTGTAGGCCTGTGCTTTTTCATAATGCATTCATTCAGTTTTACACCTTCATATATGTTAAGCTTCACAGTGTCTGCTGGAAAGAAGAAAAGCCACACGTGAATACCAGACTTCGTGAATAATATCTGGGATATTTGACTTGCTGGCAGCCTCATAAGATGAATTTTGAGCTGTCATAAACAGCAGCAGAGACATTATCAGCTGATAGCATGGAAAGGAAGATAGTTCTCAAGTACTTCATGTTATTTCCTCATGAAGTGCTGCTTACAGTGCTCACAGTGCTCATATTGATGTGCTCTGTGAGATTAAGTAAAGTGAATCTGCTGATCATTTGGGTTTGGGGTTTTTTTCACCTGTTCATTAAAAATTGCTACTGGTATGTTTCTGGCAAAAAGTCAATCCCATTATTCACTCATCCTGCTGGGGTGCAAATGGAGTGCAGAAACCCTGCTGTGAAGGGGTCCCTGATATATTAACTACCTTTCAGGTTTCCTGTATGAAAGTGCTGGTGGGATATAGCACTGGACACTGATATTGTGTTCACTGTTTATATCTCTTAATATGCAAGGAAGTCAGTGGATGCTTGAATGTGGAGTGCATTCAGAGTTACCTATGACTTTAGATGAGAGTTTTGAGTGTTAATTATCTGCCTCTAATTTTGAAGTGTGTCTGAAGATGTTCTGTTGTTTTGGGTAAGATAAGTATTTTGGCTGTTTTTTTCAGTCTCAGTATTAGCCTTATTTCTTCCGTGGTACTAAAAACTTAAATTTGTGAATCTGTAGCAAGTCCTTTTCATAACTTCATGTGTAGCTGCTAGGTGTTCTGTTTACAGAAACAGGTAGATATTTTTGGTGGTTTATACAATGTAGTTTGAGGTTTTGAGACTTGGGAATTGAGTCCAAGCAATATGTAATGCAGATGAGGAGAGATGACAATAGAGGATCTGGTCTCACTTCTGTTTTGCTCCTGGTTATGTTTAGAGGGCTCAGAGTGGTGTTTGTGTTGTGCTTTCAGTTGGAATTGTTTGCTCAGGCTGAGGAGTATAAATAATAAGCAAGTCAATGAAAGCAAAAGGATCATAAATTTTGTGAAGTGAACAGTAAAATACTGAGACTGTTCTGAATAGGTTTAACTGAACATCTGCTGTTTGAATAGGTACCAGACATGGCGGGCTACCCTCACATCCGTTACATTTCATCGGGATTGGATGGAACATCATTCAGAGGCCCTTTCAGGGGCAATTTTGAGGTTTGTAATAGAAAAAACTAGATAAATGTCAAAATGTGTCATGAGGGAAATGGGGAGGGTGTATGGTAGAGCTAGTCTTATATGTAGATGTAAAAGAATCCTAAAGAAAATACCCTTTATTTCGGGAATGCCCTCACCATGGTGAACTGGAACAAAAGCACCTTGAACAGTGGGTCAGTCAGAGGAGCCCTGGACAATGCAGGGTTAGGTGGTTATTAACTGACAGGACATCTCGCTCTGCCCTCCACCCAGTAGCAGGATGGAGAATTCACATGATATACTGGTAGAAGGTAGTGCTGTCTCTGAATAACTGTGCCAGGATCCTTCTAGCAGGGCTGAAACTTGGCCACTGTAACAGTGCTGTCCTGTTATGTAGTGCAGGAGCTGAAACGGAGTGAAGAAAATAAAACAGGAGAAAACAAAAGGTATCAGATGCAGAGAGTTAATGACCTAGTCCACTGAAAACCTCTTCAGTGACATCTCATGCTTCCAATAAACTCATTGCTGGAGAAAAATAAATCAGTCATTATATTGCAACTTAAGCAACTTTTTTTTATTCTTCTAAGCCTTAATGACTGTTAGTAACTAAATATTTACATAGTGTATTTTAATTGCATTTTCCTCATTAGACACAAAAGTACACGTGAACATACTGATAACCATTCCTAGCTGACAAAAAAATTCTAATATTTTAGTAGTAAAATAGTGTTTCCCTATAACTTGAAATACCAGGCAGTGTTGTGGGGGTTTTTCTACAGAAGCCCATCACTTTTCCCACACAACATGCTTTTTTTGGCTTTGCCTGTATTTGAGTAAGTTGGGAAATAAGAGTTTGTCATTCTAAAATTGGAAATGGGTTAAAATAAAATTTAGTATTTACTCAAGGTAGTTGAAATAATAGTTTTTACACTGTTTATTCCTTCATGATTTTTAGGAGCTGATTCACTTGGAGGAACGATTAGGCAACGTTAATCGTGGAGCAACACAGGGAACTATAGAAAGATGCACATATCCACATAAATACAAAAAGGTGAGGATTTCTCAAACTGTGGCCTGTCTCTAATAGTTCTTTGAGCATGTAATAATGGTTATGGTTAGCTTAAGCCTGCAGAAATGTCAGCTTCAGGGAGTGCATGTTTTTCTCTATCTTGAAGTTTCAAGGATTGTAAGCAAAGCTTGCAATGCCACTTCTTTCCCAAGGAAAATTTAAAATTTGTTCCTTAGATAAAGAGCTGCTGTAATGTGATAAACAAAAGTGGTTTGATATGATTAACTTGTCCAGCAGTTATGAGAACCCTTGTGAACAACGAAATAACTACTGGTAATAGCAAAATTGTCAACAGATTTCAATGAGAACACATAAAATACGTTAAGACTTTATTTTTTGCAATAAATTGTTGCTGTACCTGCTTGGTATGTATCAATTTAACCCTTGCTCTGATTACATTACTGGGACAGTGGGAAGGTTTGAATCTGGTACACAATTTTGAGAACTGAGATTGTCTCTCAATTGGAGTTTAGTATATGATAATATAGAATCCCATTCACATTGACATAGTTCTTTCACACTTGATAAATAGTGACTTAAGATACTGGGCTTGAAAGGATTTTTTTTTTTCTCTACATGAATGAAATTAAGATATTTATACATAGACAGTAAATAAAAGAAGTGGTTGCAGCCATATGAAATGAATATATTCACAGTCCTGCAGACTTCTATAATTAACAATAAAATGTCTAAGTTTTGCTCCAGATGCTGGTTCTTGATTCATTTCGGTTCAAATACATGTGAATAAATATTTCAAAATGTTTTCATAGAAATATGTGTTGAATATGTATCAAAAAACAGATTTTACTCAGTTTGTCAATAATGTCATCTCTACTAATAAGGTAACAACTGATTGGTTCTCACAGAGGAAACTGCACTGCAAACAAGATGCGGAGGAAGGAACAGAAGAAGACACAGAGGAAAAGTGTACCATCTGTTTGTCTATATTGGAGGAAGGTGAAGACGTCAGGTAAATAACACTGAATATCAGAATGTGATGTTAAATGTTCTGGCTTCGACACCACAGTCAAATATGGCACACTTGCAGGACTGCCTGGGTGAACAGTTACCATTAAATAATGTCTGTTGTTGAACTAATGAAATAAAACAAGTTGCAACTGAAAACACACATTGTTAAGTCTGCCTTGTCTTTAGGTAGAATGTAGGTTATTTTATTAGTTTTTCATAAGTTGACTGCCTGTGTTATGAGCCCAAGCTGATACCCTGAATTAATCACAGCTGTCACTTCTAGTTTTTCTGGAGTTATGCTACTTAAGCTATAACAGATTTCAGTCAGTCTAATACAGTGGAATCCAGTTGATGCTTGACTTCATTGCCCATATCCATTTCTTCTTGGAACTAGACAGAGTGAAGGTTCAACTGGAAAGGCTGTGAAACTTTTGGGAAAGCATGGACCTGCAGAAAGAACAGCCCCGAGTAGCAAAAGCCAGGTTGTGTTTTTGCCGTGTGTGTGGATGTGGAAATGCTGCACTAACACCCTTGTTTCTCTGTTCTGGTGACAGGCGCCTTCCGTGTATGCACCTTTTCCACCAAGTCTGTGTAGATCAGTGGTTGATTACTAACAAGAAGTGCCCCATTTGCAGAGTGGACATTGAGGCTCAGCTGCCCAGTGAAAGTTGACACTGCTTTCCAGAACTCTTGTCCTCCCGCTCGCTCCCTCTCATCCCTCCTGGTACTGCAGTCAACCAAAGATGGCATGACTTACCTGCGCAGATTTGGAACATTGAACCTTAGAGTGCTGGCTCTGCTACATGGTACAACTAATGCTAGACCTACAGTTTATTGTAGAAGACAGTTGAGTTTCAGTGTATTTATAATTTTTTAAAAATTTATTATTTTTTTTTTTTTAGGTTTTACATTTTTTTTTCTTTCAATTCATTACTGTATTTTTGCATGGTTCCTTGTATTGCATTTGTTTGCACATATTATGGGCTTTGTGACCCCAAACTTGCAGGCAAGATTAGCTGCTTTAGTAAGTAGAATTGTGTGGTCTCTTTCTTTTGGTTTGTTTTATGTAGTACCAAGCTTTGAAAGTATGATTTCACTCATTACTAACCTCGAATTCCTTAATTTAATCAATCATATATTTTAGTTTAAATGTATAAAGATCATCTAGAAAAGGATAATATTATGTATTGAGACATTCCTTAATTAGGAAAAAATGGCTGCTGTATATTTACAATATCAGTTCTGAGTCAAATAACATCCTTAATACTGGGAACAGAATATGGACTATATTCAGTTTGACTGATACATATAGCATACTCATCACCAGAGTTTTTGTCTGATCAGATTTTTGTGTTTGTTTTTAAAATTTCAGCACAATGCAGATATATTTGAATGTCAATATTAAACATTTAGACTGCTGTTCAGATTGTATTTATCATTTTCTTCTATGTCTAGAAATTTGAATCCCTAACTTAAATATATGCTGCTGTGAAACAGCTCTAGTGAACACTAAATGTTGATTTCAGTTAGCTGGATTGTAGATACTTGCAGATTGAAAGACTTATTAGGGAAATGGAAAAGGAGCTTAGAATCTGTTTGGTCTTCTGCTAACTTAAGTTGAAGTATCTGCGCACATTGAGGGTTGTTTTTTTTTCTTTTGTTTTTGGTTTTTTTTTTCCTTTTTGTTGTTGTTGCTGTTTGGGTTTTGTTGTTGGTTTGTGGTTTTTTTTTTTTAATATAAAACCATTCAGTAAGGACTTAAAGCTGCAGGGTTTTTGTTTGGGTTTATATACATGCATTCATAGAATTTCTAAGGATTCCAGGCGTGTCTTGGGATTTTTATTAGATTTAAAGTTAATAAAGTTAGCTAAATCCACTTGTCTCTTGTTTTTATTTTTCATTAGTAAATTGAAAGCCTGTAAATTTCTGTAGAAACTGAGACACAAATTATGTGGTTACCTAGTTTTTGCCTTGATCATAGATTCCCTCTTTATAAATTACCAACAGTCCATCACTGATTGAAGTATTTTCTATAGTTAAGATTTGCTGCATAATATAGTATATAGAATTAAGTTATAATGTACTAACGTTTTGCCTTTGGAGGAGGTTTTAATCCACTTCGGGATCCAAGTTGCTTATCAACATTCTTTCACGTATAATAGATTATAGTTTATTTAAATGTGCTCGACATTGCAAAATGCAAATGTGCAAAAACATTGGGACAGTATTACTGTCACTTTGGAAAAGATGTTCCTCGGGGATCATAGATAAACATGTCAATTAGCTTGCATTAAGCCACCTGCTTTGTAAGTGGATTGAATAATAAATACCTTCAGTTTCTCTTGTCTTTGTCTTTCATAATCAGATGATGTGTACAATGGTTTACAGTAAATCTAGAAGACGAACTGTTATGTTTACACTAAAAAACATTTATAAATATTACCATATCTAATTTGATGCCTGTTTCTGTGTGGTTCAAGCAGCTTCCTTTTTTTTTTTTTTTTTTTGGCTGGCAACAAACTTAACACCTCTGGCACTGAGGCTTTAAGTGTGTGATAAATGGACCTTCTCAAGCTTCATTGTGTTGCTAGAACTGAACTTAAAACCACTTTTGCGCTTGTAAATGGGGGATGAGGGAGAGAGGCAGCCCAGGATCTGACTGCTGCAAACCCTCCCGTGGGTTTCTGCTACAGCTTTTGAACATGGTGGCTGTAGGAAATTCAGAGTGACTGGAGTTGGAGCTGCCTTGCTAAAAATGAATAAAAGTAGCTGGAAGGACTGAACAGACACTTTCTGTTTTCCAGTGACTGAAAAGAAGGGAAGTTAGTTGACCACTATTGTTTGAGGACTGATGATATTTACTTCTAAAAGTTTCCAAGAAGGTACTTGAGAGACATGGGACAAAAAACCCAGGGCCTCTAAAATAATAGACGCCGGGTATCTGATAGAATCTATTTTGGCTTTGTTACAGGACAAAGAAGCACAGGTTTGGGGGATTTTTTCTTTTTTTCATTTTCTTTTTTTTTTTTTTTTTTGGAAATATTTTATGGATCTGATTTGAGTACCTGGTACTAGAGGTATTTTAGTGGTCCATGATTTGATTTGTTTTATAACAGCTACTGATACTGTCTTGCTTTTAAATGTATGCATAACATTGTAATGTGATGTTGAACACTTTTGTCAGGAATCACAGTATTCTGATCTTAATGCTATTGCAGGGGCTAAAAAGCTGCAGCTTACTTCTGTTCCAGAAGGTTGTGACTTAACCGTAATTTAAGAGAAGGAGAAAGATTAGGCTTTTCATTTTGAAAATTTCCACCACTTACTGTGCTTTATATGCTTAGATGCATTGCCTTAAGTTTTCTGCAGCATCTTTGACTTTGAAGATAAGATTCTCAACAGTATGCATCAAATTACTTTTCATATAAAACTCCATTGTCAAAAGAAATCCTTTTGTATGCAATAAATAAAATGTTAGACTGGTATCATTCAAAATCTGTTTCTTATGCAAGTTTTTTTTTTTCCTTTGTCTCCTCTTGGTCCATAAACATTCCTTTGGGTACATGTATTAAGTGTTATGGGTACTAACTGAGGAAGAAGTTACCTCAGTGAAGGATCGACGTTTAGCTGCAATTAATTATGTGGATAAGCAGTCATCTGGAACTTTGGAATTCAAAGCCAATTTGGGGGGATTGCATAAGAATTGTAATTAGACTTTTCAGTCAGTTTAGGCAACTATTGTAGTGTTCAAGTCTCTGAATCTCGGGACTCGTTATTAAATTAACTTAGTGAAATTTAAAGTAAAAGCTGTAAGATGCAGCTCTTTGGACTGGTTTCCTGCAGGGCATTGTGTGAAGCTGCTCCTTTGAACGAGGTCGGTCTGCTCTGGGTGGTCCCGCTGGTCCTGCAGTGCTGCCACCCATAATAACCTCGATGCGAAGCGCAGGTGCCTCCACTGCTTCGCGGGCCTCTCCCCAGCTGTACACGGCTGTTACCTGGCCGTTCCCCGCAGTGCCGCAGCTTTTGGGGTTAAAACGTCCTTTTTTGGGACCGTGGGCTGGGCCGATCCCCGAGGGCGGGGCCGCCCTCCCCTTCAGGGCCTGGAACCGGAAACGGCTCGGGCCGTTTCCTGCTGGGGCGGAGCCTGGTCAGGCGGGCCAATGGGACGCGTGCATTGTACGAAGTTAGCCAATGGGAGAGCGGGCCTGGGTTTAAAGGGAGCCGCGGGAGCGTGCGGCTTCGGCTACCGTTTGTGCTGCGGAGCGGAGCGGGTCCCTCACGCTACTGCCCGTGACCATGGCGCTGCCCGCGGCGCGACGCGTCCCCGTAAGTACCGCGGCGAGGGGCCGCCGATCCACCCGTGGGCCTCTTTACCCTCAGGCGGCGCGGGGGCCGCGGGCTGGGAGGGCGGGGGCTCTGCCCTGCGAGAGTGGGGAGGTAGCTCTGGGCGCTGTGTCCGGTCGGGACCCCACGGTGCTGGGGCGGGTGCGGCAGCGGTCGGGCTGGGCCGTGGTGAGGGGCTGTGGGAGGTGTGAGGGGCCCTGGCCGGGCTGTGTGAGGGGTGTGAGCGGCCTGTCCCGTGCCCCGCAGAGCGGGCCCTGCCCCCGGATCGCTCCCGGCCTGGGCCACCCGCGCCTCCCCCGCGGAACAGGAGCGATAAAACTAAAGCTATGGAATGGGGGAGGTGTGGGAAGAAACTACAGAACCTTTCTCTGGTGATCGTCTAAGGTTTTAAATTGAACTTCACGAGAAACTTCAACCCTGGTGGCTTCTTCGCTGTGCATAACAAAGGGTATCGATTTTTGCGTGTTTTTAGGGATTTTTTTAGCCTAGTTTTTAATTTTTATGGTATATATCTAACAAAGAACTTGCTTTTTGCGTCTTCTTGGGAGTGCCGCTATAGTTACAAAATGTGTAAGGACTTTCCTCTGAATGAATGTAGGAAATAAAAGCTGGTTGAGCAAGGGATAGCAGGCACGGGGGCACACGGGTACAGTGGTGGTAAGTGTGTAATGGAGTTGGGCATTGGCAAATCGTTAGTCTCTGACTTTTGGAATTTACCGTTTTAGGTCACTAGAGGGATGGAGAATGCTGTGTCTGACCTTAGAAGTAAAGCAAAAACTCACCTTCCTGGCAGAAGGGCTGCCTTGGAAGAAATTGGAAATAAAGTTACAACAAGAGGAACACGCCTAATTAAGGTAAAGGAACGTTTGAAATCCTTGTCTAGGGAAGAGTTGGCCCCACTGTACTAATAATAGTTGTTTTCACTACAGAGAGCAGAATGCCCCAAAGCATCCATAAAACCTGTGAAAGGACCTAGCAAGACCACAAATGGAACTGTACTGTGTAAAGCTCCAGCTGCTGTGAATCAAGTAATTAAGGAAACTGATGTTCCAAAGGTAGGAAGTGATGATTTCTGTTTTGCTTATTAATTTTGATTTGCAGCTTGGAGCTCTGACTTCAGAATAGTTTGTCTGCTGAAAAAGCAAAGCCTCTGTACTGAGTTTCTGGTTTAATGCATGTTGTACTTGCAGGCTGATGTTCCAAGTGGCAGAACAAGCTGTTGAAGTACTGGATGAAGTTTCTGCTTTAGCTGGCAGTTACTAGAAGGTCTTTGGATTCTGTTTGTGTGACATCTCAGTGAAAACTTGCTGCACTACAGTGCAAGCTTGGTTTCAGCCTGTGTCTAAAGAAATTACGGTAGTAATGGGAAAAACATGGAAACAAAGGAACGGTGAAACTTAAGCAGTAGAGACGTGTTAACAGGTATGGTGTATTCCTTAGGCTTTGTCTCCTGTCCCTATGGATGTATCCATGCAAGAGGAGGATTTGTGCCAAGCCTTCTCTGACGTGTTGCTCAACAATGTGGAAGACATTGATGCTGAGGACTCAGAGAATCCCCAGCTGTGCAGTGACTATGTCAAGGACATCTACCTGTATCTGAGAGAGCTTGAGGTACGATGTGTCGCATCTGCACCGCTGCCTGCAGCGTGGGGTGACCTCCCTGCTCACACAGCTCTCTCCCCCACCCCACAGCTGCAGCAGTCTGTCCGCCCCCAGTACCTGGACGGGAGGACCATCAACGGGCGCATGAGAGCAATCCTGGTGGACTGGCTGGTCCAGGTCCACTCGAGGTTCCACCTCCTGCAGGAGACGCTGTACATGTGTGTTGCGCTCATAGATCGCTTCTTACAAGTAAGATACCTTTGAGCTCGGGTTCAGATCGGAAGACTTATTCAATTGCTGTGTTTTTAAATGAGTTTGGGATTTATCCTTTCTTTGTAAATCTAAGAACCTGCAAAATCTGCTCTCTGTCTAAGAGCTATTGTAGTGTAGCATCTTAACTCTGAGGCTGCCTCCCTTTTTGAGCCTGTCAATACAGACATTTCTGACTCAGAATTTATGTTATAAGGATGAGCACTGCCATACTGTTATAGTAAACTGATAAATTTGAATCTGTTTTTTTAGAGTTTGACATTTTGGGTCCTGCTCTTTAAATCCCTGTGTTGCAGAGTCATCCAGTACCTCGCAAGAGGCTTCAGCTGGTGGGTGTAACAGCGATGCTTCTAGCTTCAAAATACGAAGAGATATTGTGTCCTGATGTAGCAGACTTTGTTTACATTACTGACAATGCCTACACCAGCAGTGAAATAAGAGAAATGGAGATGATTATTCTTAAAGAATTGAACTTTGATTTGGGACGACCTCTTCCAATCCACTTCTTAAGAAGAGCATCAAAAGCTGGGGAGGTGGGTGCTTGTCCTTGTTATCTAGCACTTTCCTGTATTTGTAAAGTCTGTCAGGATTGCTCCTGGCATTTTCATCATGTGATCTTATTTGCCTTCTGCTTAAATGCTTTGTCAGGAAATACTCAGCTCTGAAACTCCACCGTGTGGAGTAACACGGCAGTGTCACCGTGGCAGCCAGTAGCCGTTCACGTTTGTATTTACTGGGGTCTGCATTCAGTCTTAGTGGCACTAAACATTAAACATACCTTAGAGCAGAACCCTTGCTTTTAATCTTTTTAATCCTGTTGATCAGGGTATTTACTCCTAAAACACTAGCAGTGTTGCAGTTATTTGTAACTTCTGGTTGCAAATACTGTTATTTAAGAATCAAAAGATAAGCTTTCTCTTTGATCCAGCCCTTTTTTCCCCACCTCAGTAGTTACTCAGGTGAACTGTCCACACTTGAAGTGGGCTTCCAGTTACCTCAACACACCACCGGGTAACTCGATGTAATAAGGTTCTCCTTAAGTCATTTTACCCTTCCCCTGCCTTGGTGTGTGTTACAGAGGAGCACACGTATCCCCAGTTGGGCACTGCAGCACCTGATGCTGCAGTTTTCTGTTAAAATCCCTCACTTGGCTTCGTGTGTAAATTCCAAATGGTGGCTGCTAGTCTAGACTGACTGGGACCCTGGTCTGGATGTGGAGATGAATGCCTGTTAGAGAGGATGGCCCCTAGACTGCAGTAAAGATTTTGCTGACTATTTTTGTTTTGTTATTGAATACAATAACCAATTCTGAATGATTTTGATCAAGTGAAGTGAAACCTTGTGTATTAACAAGCTCTCAATCTGGTAGGCTGATGCTAAGCAACACACTCTGGCAAAATACCTGATGGAGCTGACACTGATAGACTATGACATGGTCCACCATCGTCCTTCAGAGGTTGCAGCTGCTGCATTATGCTTGTCCCAAAAGATCCTGGGACATGACAAATGGGTAAGTATTTTAATCAAACTTGTTGTGAGGAGTTTTTTCTTCAGTCGATGGAAATGAACCACTAAAACAAGTACTTCAGAAAATTGTGTTGAAGTTGGTAATAATGGTAATAAATGCTGGTGCTCAAATGACAGTGAGATTGTAGTGGTATATTTCTTTTTCTACCTGCCACTATACATTAGGCTGTTCAGCTGTCTTTTTCAATATGAACACTGTGGTATGAAAGGATTTTTCTCTTGAAAGCATAGAAGGTCACACTGTAAATAAAGGTAGATGTTCATAATTCTTGCAATATATGTAGCATGATGAAATCCTGGACCATGCATAGTGAATTGTAATTCAGCTAGTGGTTACTCTTGCAAAGGTGCTTCTTTTAAAATCCTCTGCAGTGTAGAAATATGGTCCTTGAAATTGGTATGTCCACACTTCTGCACATCAGAAGTTACTCTGGATCTGTCATTTAAACTGACAGCTACAGTTTCCAGCACTTGAGGCTTAGCTTCAAGGTAAGGGTGTTTGCTGCCTGAAGTGCCTGTGCCTTGAGCAGCACTTCCCCCTTCACAAATCTCAAGTTTCCTACTGTTCTGCTGCAGGGCACAAAGCAACAATACTACACTGGGTATGCAGAAGACAGTCTTCTGATGACTATGAAACACATGGCCAAGAACGTGGTCAAAGTAAATGAAAAGTTAACAAAATACACTGTGAGTATAATGACTTAAGTCTTCTCTTTAATGTTTTTAAAATGTCTTTGCTGCATGTTGTGGCTCCTTAGGTAAATATTCTGTATGTTATCTGAAAGCATATGCTGGTCTGACAAGCCTGTGAGAGGCTGTTGCATTAGTTTTAACACCAAAACATTTCAGACTAACTGTGCTCTAGCTACTTTGGACTGGTTCACTTCCAGTCTTGTTCGCTTGTTTTCCAGGCAGTCAGGCTAATTGACCCAAAATCATCTGCCTGAACATAGGTATTGGTTGTGCAAGTCATTTGTAACTGTCCCTCTGCCCCTGCAGGCTGTACAGAACAAGTATGCAAGCAGCAAACTCATGATGATCAGCACCATCCCTCAGCTGAGCAGTGGGATAATCAAGGACCTGGCTGCATCACTCCTATGAAGACCCTGGGCAGAGCCAAGGCCTGATGGGGGGGTGTGTGCACTTTGTCTTGTCTGCTGAGGCAAAACCACTGCTCTTTGTACATAGAATTCTCCAGCCCTCCCACAGACTCTGCAGACTCGCCCGGAAGGTGACGTTTTAAACTTGTTCTGTAACACAACTTTCTACCTACCAATAAATAAAGCTCCTGTCTTTTCAACACTGAGTCTGACTCTCTAAGGTACTCCCTAGACATGTCTGCAGTCTGCTGGCCAAGCAGGACATTTGACTAAATAGGTGATTGATATAACTTGCAGGTAAATGGGGATGATTATTCTCCACAGTGGTTTCCAGTGAGACTCTCCAGGCTTTCTATAATGCATTATATTTATTAACTTACTTTCACTCCTCAGGGTAGAATGAGCAGGCAGACAGTTCATCTCTTTTTGGTATACCTTAAAGACTACTAAATATGTTTTTTATTTCAGTGCCTTGTCCCAAGGAAGTATACAGGAATTGATTTTTGTGTTGGTGGTGGTGGTTTGGTTTTTTGTTTGGTTTTTTTTTGGTGGTTTGTTGCCTTCAAGTTAGGGGAAAGAAGTAGGCTGGCTTTAACAGGTATTAACCTTGTAAATCTTTGTGTTTAGGTCAGCATAAGGCAATGTGTTCTCTGTGTGCCTAAACAAAGGGAGCTAAAGTAGGAAAATTCTGCGTCTCCTGTGATGCTAAGCACTGTGCAGGGGATGTAGGTGTGGAACTGTAGGGATGAGACCTTTTGAAACCAGCTCAGCTCTTAAAACCCGCCCTACTTCTTGAAAAGAACAACCTCCTTAGCTTTTCATACCTGTTCACTTGCCCACCCTCACTTCTTTTCTCCTCCAGCCCCCACTTCTCCAGTAAATCTCTGTGCCTGGGATAAGAGTCAACCCCCCCATAAATTGATTCTTTCTTGTCTTTGAACATTTTACTTTTTCTTTGTTTCTAATCTAAATGTATCTGTATGCTCACAAGGAATACAAGCATTTAAGTAATGCCACTCTTCTACCTCAATACCTTATTTATTTGTTAAATTAGTAAAAGTAAATTACAGAGCTTTTGATATTCTCCAAGTTACACTAAACTCAGTGCCTCCCTTCCAGCCCCAACCATTCTATGATTCTTCCACCTTCTCTTCATGAGTGTGCTGGCTCTGATGAAGAAGGCAAGAACCCAGTGCTGCAGCAATTACCAAAACCTCTCTGCTTCCCTGTGGGAAGGATTTTGAAGCTACTGGTTTTTATCTTCTCAAGCAGGAGACTTCTCTCCCATGGGATAAGTAAGCCTAGCATTTACTGCACATGCTCTTTTGAAAGGTTGATCCCTTGTGTGTATATAATTCCCCCCTGGGCTGAAGTCCTAGTTTCTAGCTCTCAGAAACAGCTTCTATAGTCAGTCATCTCCTAAAGAAGATGGAGTCTGGGTGCCTGAATTAGATTTAGGCAATGGTGTAGGAGGGAGGGCATTCAAGACTTTCAGCTGTATCTTAAAGCTCACACAACTCATAATTACCAACATACACAGGGGGGTTTTTTAACTGCTCTTAACAAGAACAAAATGCAATGCACAGCACTGCAGGAAAATGATTTGGTTTGGAGTGAAGGAAGGGTGCTTTGTCTTTAGAACTCAGTGCAGTAAAATCCAAAAGCCACTGTTGTGAAGGGCTCAGTTTGTACATGGAACTGAGAACAAAGTGCACAGAGAACAGACCTGTTGAGCAAACTGCTTCCTGTGTTTTATTTCATGGAGGTTCAGAAGGCAAAGCATGAATTCTGGTAATTGCAGGGCAAGCAACAGCCACTGCTGTGGGAGGCAATCAGACTTAAGCAGTAACACTTGTGCTTTTACCATTTAAAAGGAATAGTGCAGATCTGTAAGTACCTGGCATAAAAATTCTAGCAGTACTACTAAGAACAGTGGACTACTACATAATACATTCATACATGTTTCTGTTATACTCAGTTTTTATATACAGAATACAATTTCTTTCTATGCAGAACTGTACATTTATAGACACGCTTCTTTTAACAGGTAAAACAATAAACATAAAACCAACATGGGCCAGCCATATTATAATATAAATCTTGAAGAAGGCAACATTGTATAGCATACAGTACTATGTGCTTTTCTTTTTTAACTTCTTACAGTGCCTGTTGGAGTCCCTAAACACATCAGCAAACACAAACCAGTTCCATTACATCTCTGTACAGAATTACTTAAATAGACCATCACAGTAGTTTTTTAGATGGTGGTAATATCCCAAATGAGCCTAAATCTTTTTGATGTAGCAGCATACTTAACGTGTTCCCCAGAATGATCTGCATTAGAGGAAATGTGCATTTAACATTATCTTCAGTAGATATTTAAAAAGGTTACTGATATTCAGCTGAAGGCACTTATTAAATACACCCCTTTCTCAGTCCCTGGTCCCAGGCTGTAAAGCACCTGTTTCAGGAAGATGGTAGGTTTGAGTATTCTTCACTTATCAGGTGTTTAAACCAGGTTTTAAATATAATAAATAATTGATCAGTATGTCCATTGCTGTATGCTTCTGAGACAAAAGATCACAGTCTGTGCTGTGGGTAACTCTTCCTGCTCATGTACAACTTTACTGGGGAAAACACTGCTGAGAACAGCAAATCTTGGAAGAACAATGTCCTGAAGGCAAGGGAAAAGGCCTTCAACCCCTGGTAACTTCATGCCAATTTTTCTCTGACAGTCTTTTATATCTTGGTGACATAATTGTTGGGAAACAGACCTTGTTTCCCTCGTAGTCTTCCCGTCCACCAGCCAGAAGGATCTGTAACAAAGACGGCAAGGTAAGTAGTCAGGTTCTTTAAGGCTTTCTGTTACATTTCTTGGTGCAGCCTTGCAAAGCTGTGCCACAGTGAGAGGTTTCTTGGGGAGGAATGAGGGGACATGGTTTGCAGAACCTGAGCTTGCTCATCTTTTGGCCACATGACTTTGCCTTAGGATGTTGCTTTTGAGACCCAGAGCTGGAACTGCTTGATTACTTTTTAGTTCTTGTTCTACAGCTGTGGCTTAGGTTGATTTTAATCTAGATGGGAGTCATCTGTGGTAGAATTACTCTCTGACTAAACTTACAGCTCTGCAGTACCCTGTGATTCATGTCACTGATCTGTCTCGGACACGCTGTGGAGTGAACTGGTTTGGTTGGTGTGGGTCTGGAGGCTCCTCTGCTCCCTGAGCTATCAGAGAAACTTGCAGGGTAACTGTGGGGTGGCCTGGAAAGACTCGTCCTTCCTTCTGGCCGTGTGCCTTCAAGTGCTGAAGTAACAAACCCTTTCTCCCCCGTACCTTCTTTGATGATCTCAATCACGTCATTGGCGTTAAAGCTGAGCTCGTCCGTGTCCTGAGCATCGTATGCATACAGTGCCCTGCACTGAGGTACCTGAGGCTTAGGCTTGGGCTGGGGTTTAGGCCTTCCTCCAGCTGGGGGGGGGCGGTTTGTGGTCTGCCTGCGAACACTGAGGGGAGAAAAAATGTTAATGTGTTTCAAAGCCTGAACCTAAGCTTTATCAAACCCCTCTGTCTTACTGAATTCATTTTAAAGAATTTCACAGAACAAGAGAAAAAGGGTTTTCTTATGTCACAACAACTAAAAACACCAGTATGAGACTTCCCTGTGACAGGAAAAGAGTTGCCATTTGTTTCCTACAGAAATAGATGGTAAGTACTTCCAAACAGCAGTTCAAATGCAGAGAAGTTTTAGTGCTCAGGCTGAAATGGAAGCAACTGTGCACATGCAGTTCATGCAGATCTTGGTATTTACACAGCTTAGGCTGTCTCTCCCCTTGCCCCAATGTCACCAAGGATTTAGTTTTCAGTATTAAAAACAAAGTTCTAGCTCACAGGCTTGCTACTTTACCATTCTTGTGACTAAGCTGTAACAAAGATTGCATCTCTTTTAAGTTGCCTCAGACTCCAGGGCCATCTATGGACTTGTTCTGTTACAGCCAACTCTGAAGCAGCAGGGGAGATGCTGCACAAACTGTCACAGCTCTGACCACTCCAAAGATTAGGAAGGGAAAAGAGGGAAGAAATGCATTTTGCCAGCTCATCAGCTAATAAAGGCTGGAAGAGAGAACAGGTATTAGACTCAATATGTCAGTTTAAAATTAATAATAAATGTGCTGAATGACTGATAATGGTGTAATGATGTGGAGGAGAATGAACTGTGATCATGTCATGTAAATGCCATGATAACACTACACAGCTTTTGCAGAAAAGGTTGGTAGTTAGTTACACAAACACAAAGTCCTAGGCCTAACTTTTGTCAATACACCTCTGTTTAGTTCTTTGTGTTGTGAACTGCACCAGAAAATAATCTTTAAAGTACAGGTTATAAATTGAGAACTGAAATGCTCCTATCTAATGTGGGGGAGATCTCCTGCTCTGTAGCACTGTACTGACTTTTCCTGAAATAGAGTATGTTGTGAAACCTGGACCTATGTATGGAAATTAAGGAATTCAGCACAAGTCTTGGAAAAGTAGCTCAGCTTCTTTGCAACCACAGCAGAACAAGAACACCTTAACTGAGCTGTTCTGCTGGTGGGAACGTGCTGGTTTTAACCTTGGTGTTGGACTGGATTGTTGGTACCAGTACCTCCCTTCTTGGCTGCTTTGCTAAAAATAAACTGAATTCTAACTCTAAAACACCATATCTGCTTATATATGGCTGTGGTTTTGAAATGCTAAATTCACATGATCTGCTACCTTGGCTGGATTACTGGTTGGGATTAGGGACCCAACTGGCCAAGGGTGACACCAGTTTGCAAGAAGTGAGAAGTAGGAAATGCAGTTCAGTGCATTCAGTACCCAATAGCCAGTAACTCCTCTGTTGGAATGTTAAGGTCTAAGACATGACTCTGCCAGGCCCTTTTTAGATGTTCCTTTACCTGACACAGTAACATCCATGCTGGTTGCCTACAACTGTGGCTCACTTTGAAAGAAAAAAACCACAACAAAACTGAAAGAACAAAACAAACAACCCTCACTCCCCAACTTCCTCTTCCCTCCTTCCTCAGAATTGTTAAGTATTACTAAGAGCTTTTATCTTACTTCTCACTTCCTCTAGAGAAGCTTGGCTTCCATGAAATCCATCCCAAGGGGAGCGATGGGTGCCTGTTCCCTACTAGTTCTGGTTGCAGTTACTGCTGTGGC